TATATATATATATATATATATATATATATATATATATATAGACACTGCTAAGTATAGACACTGCTAAATATACGCGGCAAGCAAATGCCTAATTTGCTGCATAAATCATCAAAACATATTTATTTATAATATTATAAAAAGGTATTTAGTTATTTATTTATTTATTTACTATTGCTCTCTATATATATAATTATTATGCTGCTGTTTATACAGATACTAAATATACAATATATAAATAGATATATAAATATAAATATACTATATAAATAAATAAAATAAATAAATAAATAAATAATAAATACATATATACAGGGGAGAAAGAATAAGAGGACAATAAATCCTCTATACAGCATTTTTGCTGTTATGTTGTATACTACTACTATAGGAGGAGGAATTCATATCTATTGCTTTGCTTGCATTTATATATTTATTTATTTGTTTATTTAATTATTTTTTTATATATTTATTTATTTTTTTTTTTTGTTTTTTCCTTTTTTTTCTGTACACTTTGTAACCCCTGCTGAGTTAATAAATAGGAAGGTATACTATGCATGCATACAATGTGAATAAAAATAATAAATATAATTAATATAACTAATTAAATATATTTATTTATATAATTAATTAAATATATTATATTTATTTATTTAACTAAATAAATATATAAATAAATAAATAAAAAAAATTAAATACCCATGTATTTTTCTTCTTCTCTAAGAATTTTCTCTAATTCATCAAGAGCATTAAGTAATTCTCTTTGTGTCTCGCTATCTACAAGAGGATTTGTATCCATTTCTTCTTCTTCTTCTTCTCCTCCTCCTTCTTCTTCATCATTAAATAAATCATCATGTCCTTCTTCTCCTCTTTCTCCTGATTCCTTTATTGCTTGATGATTAATAGGAGTCCTTAATGCTAATGCACTAATAAGAATTGTTAATAATGCTAATAAGGATACACTAAGACGAATAGGCCATTTATTATTTATTTTTCTCCCTATACTCCTTGATAATATAATATTTTCTTCTTCTCTTTCTCCTTCTATTTCTCCTTCTTCTTCTTGTTCTTCTTTTTTATTATTACTATTCTCTTCTTCCTTAATACCATCATCATCCTCCTTTGTATCCTCCTCCTCCTCAGGAAGAGGATACCAACTATCTACATCATCTGAATACCCAGCACCAGCTGCATGAGTAGCAAATGCAGTGTCATGGATTGCGGTGTACGTCTCCCATGAATGACGACGAGAAGCATAAGATTTAGCTAATGAATTTGCATGCAGAGGATCGTTGTCGGTACTTTTTTCGTCTATTCTTCTTATAGATGACGATGGTGCTGGTGGTGGTTCGCCTGATACTGTATACAATTCTGTACCCTTATTCATCCCTATATACCCCTCCATAATGTACTCTTATCTATTATCCGTTTAATATACTTCTTTCTCTTGAGGGGATTATTAAGAAAAACAGAAAAAGAAGGATGCTGACGACCCCTGCCGTCGTGCAAAGGTGGTGGCCCCCATTCAATCAAATAATAATGAACTAAAATAAAAGTAATTAATTTAAATATATTCTTCAGAGATCTTCATTACCTGCACTGTAATTATACGTCTGTAAAGAAGGACCCATTCTCTAGGCATTGCAACTTTTTATTCGTTGTGCCCTACCTGCCGTGACCGGCAGCTGACAGAGAGAGAGGGGTGGGGGGGGTTATCTAAGCAATTCTTCCGCTCTTAAGAAATCCTATAGAACGAAAAACAAGATAATATAATTATTGTAAGAAAAAATTCACAATTTCGCGACTGACTGACCCCCTACGTATACAAGAGAGGGAGATCAGTGGGGCCTTACATGTGGCGACATCGAAGCCCGCCCTGCCTCTAATGCTATACACAACCACTACAGGATATTGGGGGAGTCTAACGATAAAAAAAATGGGAAAAAGACTATATTCCATGCATTTATATGAGTATTTCTATAAAACAAATATAAATATGTAATATTATCCACGAGAATGCAGATGAGTGTAAGAGCAATTTCTCCTCAGTCTCGATCTGCGTTCACACAGCCTCACCCCATTGGGTAGACACTTAACTGCCACCGTGTAGCTTATTTCTTACTTTTATATTTATATAACATGATATTGTCTTGAAACTCTAGTAATTCCAACTGTAAAATTCCGCTTTGTTTTTCCCCACATAGGCACTGCAACGTCGTGTTTGCGGTGGTGTAACACGGTCTGTGCTGTCGTGGCAGGTCTACGCCTGCAGTAGTTACGTGAACGACCCGTAGACGTACACAAAATGTACTCTGGAGGACCTTTTCAGTAATTGTGTACATTGTTTGTACATAGGGAAGAGAAGGCTGCCTTGTGTTTGTGTGCGGGGCTGTCTTGCACCGTCAGTTGCACCAGCATGGTGTCTTGCAACTCGTGACACGCCGACTGCTCTCCTGCAACTCCACTTGATAGAACTACAGTGCTCAGGAGGTTTGGATGCAGGTATATAAGCCTGGTTCTTGACCAGGAACTCTTAGTATTTTGGCTACACAGCAGTTCACACTAGTTGTCCTCGCATGGGGTCCAGGAAGCCCCGTTAAGGTGTATCCACGCCTCTTCCTGGAGAAACTAAATTGAACAACCCCAAAAATGCTATCAGAGGCGTGTAGTCTGAAAGAATAGTTCACGTCTCCCTCGTATCTTCAGGAAGTCGCGTCAGGAAAATCCGTCGCAAGCCCTACACCCTAAACATGAGCACTAAACTCTCAGCCGTAGACCCTAAAGCAAAGCCCCAATCAATGGGTTTAAACAGTCTCCCCATCTTTAGAACGAATAATTCGCAAACGTTTGCTGCAATTTCGTGCCCCCGCCTGTAGAGCCCAGAGGCGCCGTCGCATCTATACGTAGCAGTATAGGCCGAGCTCACTCGCCAACTGTGACTGTTGCAAACAATTAAGCTGCCAGGAACCAATGCTAGGCATGAATTTATTTAATTTTTTGCAACTGTTATAGTTGCATACGTCTTCATGCTTAGCATTAAGACCGTTTCCCTTTTCATTTAGCTAGGACCTGATCTCCAGCTAATGTTGCAAGGGTCTGGCCGTTCCTCCGTAGCTTTAAGCGCATATTATTCCTTGTCTTCAAACCCATTGTCTAAGCATTTGTTGCCAGTTATAACGGAATGATTTTTTTTGTCTTTCTGAATATTCTTTTATTATCTCAGCACAGGTTCCCGCGATTGAACTAAAGGAGACGGGAATATTGTGGTTCTCTTGAGGACGTCATTAGAAAATTCCTGCAAAGAATTTAAAAATATATAAAAGTATATCGAGCGTTACGCCTTCATCTTGTTGCTGACTCACTGCTACTGCTGCTGCTTTTCCCAAATGCGTCAGGGGGAGCGAAAGTTGTTTGTTGTTGTCTAAAAGTCATCAACAAATGTAATGTTAGTAGGCAGAAAGCGTCTGCCTGCAGCTAACGAGAGAGCACCTCTCTCCGTTAGGAGGCCGTTGCTACGAATATCAATCTGAAGGTAAACGCAATACAAGCTAGACCAATACAAGCTAGATGGCAAATTACAATATAATAACATATGTATATATAATGTAGTTGAGGCATTCATGTATCTACATATTTGTAAATATAAAGCTACTTACATATATACAGATATCTTTACACATATTTCTGGTTCTACGCATATATCTTAGTTCAGTATTATTGTGCTTATTCCCCGACTACCGCGTGTCCCAAGTCCAGATGTTGCACGCAGTTTAGGGTTAGGGTTAGGGTTAATGTGCAAAAGACTCTATAAGTATATAAACACGTGTATAAGTTTTCAAAGTTTCACCAACTTGGCCGTTATTTTCTTGTTTACCCGTTGTCGACTCCTTTTGCTTACTTTGAGTGAATTGCCTTCGCTTCTGTTTTTTAATTGAGCGCCAAAACCAATGAGACGAGAAAGGAAGGAGTCTGTCATGCTTATATTTTGCAGAGACAGATCCTGAGGCATTAAAAAGCGCAAGCTCAGAGCCCTGGCTGTCTTTTTACATGATTAGGTGACAGGCAAATCACAGTGAGAATCAAGCCACGAGCTCATTGGATGCATTGGAGTATTGCCCTTTTTGCATCCAAATTTATTTACGTTCTCTGGTTCTGTTGTCTACTGCGTGCGCACGGCGACGTCTTGTATCAGACTCTATGGTACTAACGTAAATACAACAACAGTACAAACTTACGTCATACACTAGGCTATGCGCCCACAACTCAACGAACCGATGAGCACTGGTTAAATGCATAGCAAATTTTCTGGGGAAACACTGAGTAGCTGGTTGTATTTCTAACCAATGTGCTGAATTGACAATTAGTTCACTGCGTAGAATAATGCAGCTACAACAGCAAATTAACTAAATGACTGCAACAAATACAGTTGAATTAAACCCCAGCACAAAAAGGCGGGGCATTCCATGAGTTACAGGATCGCTGCAAGTATAAAATGGCTGTGTGTGTGTGTGTGTGTGTGTGTGTGTGTGTGTGTGTGTGTGTGTGTGTGTGTGTGTGTGTGTGTGTTTCTTGGCTTTAGTTAGTTTCTTGCCTTTAGATTATCTGCATTTAGCAGGATTTTGCTAATTGGTTCGATAGAGGCCTCCCCTAAAGCATTGTCATCGAGAGAAATTGAGATGAGCTGCTCCAGACAGCCAGAGTGCAGCCAGTTCTCTCTGCATCAACAACCCTTAACAGCAATATCCAAGGTTTATTTTACAAGAGGATATACTTCAAAGATAGCGGATAGATCAGTGAAGGAATAATTTGCGAAAAACAAGAGAGATCGTGAGAAAAACAACGAGTTGGTAGATGCACACATCTAAATTCATCAACAACAAACACTGCCAGTCAGAAGATTGGCAGAGGTTAAGGACGCAGTCATTCGATGATGTTGGAAGGGAGGCAAAAACAGTGGCAGCAAGGCAAAAGGACAAAATGGGGAACACGGCAAACAACGACAAGTTACTTAACAGCAACTAATGCACATAAGAAGACGACGCCTCAATACATACACATGTTGCATGAGGACGTCTGCGGTCAAGTCGACATTGACGAGCTCCACATGTCTGTAATTATTTGCACATTCTAGTGGGGCATTAGACGATTCGTCCCTGCTGTTTTTTCCTTTTTCCACTGCTGCTAGGAGAAAAGAAGACTCTTGTTTCGCTGACGGAGGGTAGGGTGAGACGTTCTCCGTTTTTAACAGAGAAGGAGAGGAGGGAGGCTGATTATTTTCCGTGGATAATTGCATCTGTGATGGCTCCTGAACGTGCGGATTTCCAGAGGCACCGAGACGGTAGGAGGCAGAGAGGCGCTTCTCACATAAACACCAACAACCACTATCCCTTGAGAACCTTTTTAACTTGCCTCATATAATTTTGACTTAATTAAACTGATTGTTGCAGGTTGTATTTTCTTAGGAGTAAAAAATCCTGTTCATGCTTGACTGCACACCAGTCGTGTGTTGTCAAGGGAGATTGAGGAGGGTACCAGCGGTATTATCCGCTGTATGATTGACACCTCTTGCGGTCCAAGGATATTCAAAAGAGCTTAAGTTTAAACAAGACGAATTTTTGACAACACAGACAGAATCTGTTGTTAACCGTTTTTCACGCGTACAGAGTAGCTAAGCTCACACAACGGTGCTCAACTTAACTACCCTCCTCCGTGTGCAACCTACACTGCGAAAAGTGAGGCAAAAAATGTGTGTAATAGCTTAAACGGTAATAAGTAGGGCATCTAAAAAGAAGGAAATTAGTGCAAGAACTGTAAGAGGAGCAACTCTTTTCTGGCCTCCTGGCTATAGAGAGGACCTAGGCAAGAATGAACGGCTACAACATTGAAGAAAGTTAAATGGACGAAATAATAGGAAACTTGAAATACGCAGAATTCGGTCGAAACTAATTCATAATTGTAGGCAGACATGGAGGGACAGGAAGACTTCGTGAGGTTGACAGACCCGTCCATGTTGCCTGCAGCCCTCAGTCAACCCCATGCACGACGACAATGAACTAATAATTAGCATGCCTTTGAATCTATTTGTATTTTAACGGGGTAAATTGTCCCAAGACAAAACAAAAGACAAGTCCTCCTAACCGCGTCCACATACCCGCTTACAACTCCTAACCGGCACACTACCCCGGTCGTATTGTTTCGAGATATTTCCAACTGAAATAGCGCTGCAGACTGCCTTAAACTGATAAAACTGTACTACGTGTTAATATCCTATTGAATGGAATCGTGATTCCAGGGGGTGCAGTACAACCTTTCATGCTGCAAAACATTTATATACGATATTAGCTTCTGCCAAATATACCCCAAGTGAAATTTTAACTGTAGATAATATATGTAATTGTTAATACAATGTGATAACATTATAGAGGAAGCATAATAATCCTCCCATTAAAGCTCGCTAATCCGCGTGAGAATTCGTTTGCTGTATTCCATGAAACCACGCCACCCTGTTGATTTGCCAACTCACAGCAATCTCACAGCAATGGTATTTAATCAATAAGCACAATTATATCTAAAAATTTCTGTTTAGAGAGAGCCTTGACTGGCTCTGTAAGGAGTTGTTAGCGGCGTTCGCAGCTACCAACCTCTTATAGCCAGTCAACAAGCGACGAGTGAAGCATGAAAACGTCGACAGCGAACTCTAATGGTACAAGGAGAGACGTGTACTTCGCCTATTGCGCGTCTCCGCTCCACTCCGTGCAGTGGCTTTACACAAGATAGACCATCATGGTGTGGCTGCTGGTGGAAAAGTCAACAGAACTGTAAATCGAGTGTCCAGATCCTTTTAGTGGCTTACAATGATGGGGCAAATACATTCACACATAGCTGCAATGCCAGCCCCGATAAGCCACGGGACTATGACGGAACAGTCACAAACTTGGACCGTTGCAGAGACCCCCGGCCCTCGAAAAAAACTGGGCTGTCATTAACAGCGGTTTTTTACTTTGCTTTCCGGCAGTTTTAAGTTAGCATAGCATTTACGCTGTAGTTAATAGTCTTAGGAAGTATGCGCATTCGTTCCGGTGTTCTGATTTGGTTACCGCAGAACGAATCGACCAATTATTCATTTTTGATCTCTGGAAGTCTCATGCAATTCCGAATGGCATCCTCATTGACACGGATCCGGAGGTCGTTAGCGCCTTCAGAAACGTCACTTTATGAGGCGGCATCACATCGCAGACAAACGCACTGCATGCCATACTGACGCTCAAAGGTAACTCTATAACTGTATCCTGGCTCAGTATTGGGGGTTCTATATGCATCAGAACTCCTCAAACTTGCTGGATCTCCTCCCTTGTGCGGAATCGTCTTCTAATACAGCGACGCACCCTTACACCTACCTTCCCCTCCGCCCTACACTTGTCCGGCATCTTTAGTCCGCAGCCATTGGCCCACTAGACGTTACATCCTGCTTTATGAAGCCACTAAAGAAGCACTGCAACCTCAGACTGTTCCATGACGCTAGCAGCCGCACAGGAATGCATGAGACAAACCCAGCAACGGTCGGCCAGAAACTACGAGAAAAGACGTTCAGCAGACTTTTTTTATCCAGGCGGCGTGGTTTTGCTAGACTCGCAAACTCGCCGAGACACACACGAAAGGGACCTGCTGAGGAAATCCTCTGCACACTCGGTAGGAACTATTGCTATTCTTTCACTGGTCAATATATTTGCTTACGCTGTCAGTAATATTGACACGCTGCCTCCTTTACAGCAGCATAAGATGCTCGAGCAGCTGCGCTCAGGATGCCTTGATACTGGGGGGTGGGTTGACTCGTTCTAAGGAACTCTCTTCTTGAGTAATTGGATCCACCGCACGTCTCAACAATCCCTTTACGCGCGTTAACCCCAGTTCACGTATCGCTACAGAATACCACACTTAATCCGCCCCAGTAAAGAATCATAAAGAGGACCATGTTAACTAGAATTAGCATAAATAACTACTACTGGCTAAACAGAAATGGTTGTCGAGGGTCCCTGTGTGCAAAGCCAGACGAGGGCTTGACACACACCAGCCCGCAAGACGGAAACAACGCCACAAAAAACAACATTTTGACAGGGTCGGATATTGTTGGCACATTTCCTCATGAGACTTAAGCTTTACGAGACATTACAATCGTTATTAAGTGTGTACATAATCTTTACAGTACTGGGGGAGAGGAACAACCCAACTGCATGCAAATGCTGCAAGAGCTGCGTTGAGTTGCATGCAGCTGGCAAGTGAGAGGCGGACCGCTTTTGCCTGGACAGTTGTTGCCTGAACCCGTCTGAAGCGATGGACTGCAGGATGTTATGACTTTATATTACATTTGCAGTCGACAGTTTTAGAGAAGACCGGAGCACTTCACCACGTTTACTCCCGTGGTGTCTGTTTGCCTTCGCACGGCTGTGTTGCTACCTTCTCGACGGAGGTGTTTCATGATTCAGCGATCGTTCTTCGTTTATTTTCCTTATTAACTTCATTTCCTCTTCCTGGAAAGCCAACCATTTCAGCGATTCCGCCCAAGTAACACCCGCGGGAATGCACATCCGGCCGGCGTGGAGAATTACCGGAAGCCCTTACTTGCAGCGCGACTAGCGATTGTTTTTAACGGCAGTTTCATCCTGTGTTCTGTGCCCTTACATACCCTGTAACCTTTGTGTCATTGCGAACCCACCAAGCTCGGCAGCAGCTCAAACTACATAGGCATCGTACTCCTGGACAGATGTTTACTGTACAACAACCGTGAGGCCCTTTACTTCGCAAACAGCAAAAGGAGCTTGCATCAAATGAAAGAATTACCTCAGATTAGCACAATTTCAACGCCCATCAACGACAAGGACGTGGACTTATTGCCCCCCCCGTCCTAGACAGGGAACGCCCTGCAAACTCCTGTTCCTGTCATCTTCTCCTGAACGACGTGTCTGCAGTTTTCTGTCACAGCAGCACGCTGCTGCTACTTGTTATCATATATACGTACATGAAAGCATACATGCAAACCTGTATATGGTGTGGGTTGTGTGTGGTGGCGGCCTAGAATGTGGTTTGCATACGCAGCCTCCCCCTGCGCCTTTTTGGTAGGGGAGGCGGTTCTGTTCTGTCTTTTGGGCGGTTTAATATTGAGGCAGTTGCTAAAAATGTATTGTTCTCTCAAACAATCGCCTTCTTTCCCGGCCGGAAACGCAGCAGGAGACAACAGCGCAGCCCCTCTTTCGCGCATTAGTCTTAGTGGGGGCCAGACGCGGTTTTCCTTTATTTCGCTTCTTTTCCTAGCATCACTCTGTAAGTTCAGTTTTTAGTTTTGGTTGCCTATCAATTGCCCGTAATTGCTACGTTTTTCCTCCGTTTTGTTTGTTCTTACTCCTTTTTGGTCCGATGGGCTGTGACTACATTTGTCAATATGATTGCACAGGGGTCGTGACATTTCATTTCGTATATATGCTATTATACTTATTATTCTGCATCTCTATTGTCAACTATCCTATCCTGTAATAAATCTGTACTGGTACAGTTATCACGAGTGTTTCAGTTTACCAATATTAGCTGCTTTATTCTGTATAAAAGCAACTGCCTCCACCTTTAGCCCCTGGTAATGCTTCTACTTGCTTCAACTTCTCTGTTGAGTAGGGTACCTGGATATCCTTTGCATAGGGCACTTGGATTCGTTCTATGGTTGTTCGACGAGCACGTTTTACTTGTGTGTTTTTGCGTATTACACTATTTTATCGTAGCTTCTGTTGTGCTCGCCCTGGTGTGCCTGTTCCCTACTCGTGTGGTTTTCCACTATTTGAGCTTAGCATATGCTGTTCTGCTAACCCTGGTGTGTCCGTTCCACTATTCTTCTAATTTGGTTGCGGTCGCAGTTCGGGCTTTGGCGTTGTTTGGAACGGCTGTCTTGTGCCATCGGACGACGATGCGGCAGGCGGAATCAGCAGTTTCATCTTCGGTTTCACCTCCAAGCAGTAACAATAATAACGAGGGCAACACCAGCAGCGGTGGCGGTGGCGGTAGTATAGACAGCTCAGACATCCCCATTTCGTTCAACTTTTCCCTTGATGAGGAGTGGATTGTTTATTTATTTGATTCATTCCCTTCACTTGTATTTTGCTCCGCCGTTTCTCTCGTCGTTCTCTTCTGGGCAAGGATATACTACGCCGCCAACCTTGTGGCCTACCCACTGTTTTCGTGAGTTGCAGTCCACTGGAAAGAAACACGATAATGGTTGCATTAAATAATTGTGTTGCGATTACTATTGCTAATTGGAAGACATCATTCAGCACATCAGCCATTAGTTGGTGTGCTGCCGGCTCATGTGGGCCCTTACCTGCTTCATAGAAGCATGAGGATTTTTCACCCAAGTGGGATGCTGGACTCGGCGTCCCAGTCAGGTGCTGAAGCTGCCGATACGTGTGTTTTCTATGCACGCAATTTGTGTCAGATACGTTTTACTTGCGTATAAACATGCGTGCTTGTGGGTTTGCTTTAGGCGGATGCATTCTGTTTTATCTCTGGTGTTGTTCGCCGCCTATGCCTTCTGCATTTCCGTTGCGGTGCTGCTGCAAGCCAAAAGAGCTGCATGTGCGTTTCTTCAAGGTCTAGAAGCGTTATTATTCGGTGCAGAAGCTGTCGCCTTTCTCCTGTACGGAATCAAGGCAAGCAAGTAACTGGCAATAACATATAAATAGGTTGTGTGGCTCGGGGCTCACTAATTTCACTATCCCCCCAGGCCCCGCCCCCGAATAACCTGCACTCGGCCAGCAGAGTGTTTACTTTTAGTCTTGGAGCTCTATGCTTGAAAGCGCAGCAGAGAGTGGGCTGTCAAGAGTTAGTTTTGGTGATTTCGTGCTTGGCGCGTTCCTACAGGTCGCCCGGAAAGTCTCGGAAAGGGGCAAATCTGCCTCTAGGAAGAGCAGTATTGTCAAGCGGGTACGAAGAAATTGCACTGCGTGTGTCCTAGAGATGAATGAATACTAGACCTGAGCAAAACACAGTTTTATTGAGAGTACTTTTACTGAATCCGTTGCAGCTGCAGATAAGGGTAGCTTTGTGATGGCAAATTACACGGGCTAGTATGGGGCAGCTGATAGCGTTTTGGTGGCTTGTAAGCAAGTGTGCATGCACATGCACAGGACCGTGCAGTACAGCCGTGAGTTGGTGGTTACTCTATATGCGCTATGCAGTGGTAGTGCACACGCATACATGCGTTCACACAGATGCGTAGTGTCAGCTGTTGCGTGCACGTATCGCTGTATCGCATGTTTGCAGGTGATATTCCTGTCTGTCGCATGCCCGATCCTCTTCGGCTTTCGCAGTTTTATGGCGTTTAAAGGCGCAACGCCTCCGTTGCACCCTCTGCACCTATTGCCAGGAGCTGTAACACAACCTCAGGTTCTAGCAGGACAGGTGCGTGCGCTGACGCTGTTGATGTGACACTTCGTTGTGAGCTGCTGATTTACGTCAAGTTGCTGCTGCTGGCTGCCGCCGTTGGTGCTTCTGTTTTGCCATTAGAGAAGCGAAAAATGGGTTAGAGATGCAGGCTCAGGGGGGTCTTTGAAATTCGTTGTTCTTTCAGATGTACTTTGTTACGGAGTGGGTCCCTACGCTGTTGATTCTATTGACGTTTTGGCACCGCAAAGGAGGAACGGTCAGAGGGCAGCAGCAGCAACAGCCCTCAGCGTCGCCGGCGGATGCAGAAGAAGAAGTTGTTGCGGTGGGGGAATGGCTTGCACGCTTTTGGAGTACACATTAAGTGCTTGCAACGTTCATGCATGCTGTGCTCCGCACCATTTGCGCACTCCCTTTTCCGTGTTTTGGACTTTCGCTTCTCGTGCTTGGGTTCTGCAGGCTCCAGTTTTTGAATTTACTTCCCATCAAACAGGCTGCTGCGTGTTCGTCTGCTTACTTGCATTTTCACAGGGCAGCTTCGACTCGACCATTATGGCGCCTCTGATGCAGCAGAACATTTATCCTTTTACTGCTGCCCCTCCTCACCCTCAGGCGCAAGGAGATATCAGCCACTGCCCCGTAAGGAAGGCGAAGCTTGATGGTTTCTGCACTTGTAGGGAACTGGCTATGCTTTTTGACTTGCTTCAGTCGTAGCATGCTCATTGCTCGTCAGAACAAAAGGACAACAGCTCTGCATTGCATATTTGATTTCGCTCTGCATTCAGGCCATGCCGAGCGAGGTATATCCACAGTTTATGCACCCCCAGGTCCCGTACAGGGATTCATTCTCCAGCTATGCCCCGACAGCTTCATCTGGCGGCTACAGCCACTCACAGTACCCGCAGCAAGGACAGCGGCAGTGATGTGCCTCTCTCATTCTCCACAAGCGGAGGCATGCTTCTGCTTTATGTCTAAAGCTTTTCACCGCACATGCGCAGCTCCTTGCCTCGCCGTAGCTTGCTTCGCTTGAAATGTTTAAGCCGTTTGATTGCTCCCCTGCAGTTATACTGCCGCTGCGCTGCTTCTGCACTTCCAGGTGCACCACAAACGAACATGAAGGGGGGTTGTGGGCAAAAAGAGGTGTTTAGCGCCTTGGAACATCCCTTTGCATGCATGCAATGCGTTGATGCCTGGTGTCTAGATCTCCTGTGGCAACGGAGAGCTATCTTCTAGCAGTACTTGTTTCCTTCAGCTTATCTGCCTTTTAGCACCTGGATAGCAAATATTGCTTTATACGGCTAAAGGGCCACTGAGGAAATACTTATCTAAGCGTAGGCAGCAGGGTGAATGCACCGACTTGCACTATACCGCCCACAAGGGAGGCGCACGCACATTATGACCCGGGATCCTGTTAGTTCATTAAATCTAGTTACTTGAAAATAAGTTTGAGAGACCCATCCACCCTTAACAGCGAAGCAAAGTGCCAAGGCTGTCAGAGTGCTGCATGAGATAGAACACGAAAAAACAGATACAGAAGGCGGCAGGACGTCGCACCTTTGCTAGCTCCTTTTACTTCCACTCTTTCAGTGGAAGAATGCTGTGGTAAACAATGTAGTGCATAACAAAACTACAGAAGATTAATCAATTCGGTTAATTCACCCACTTGAGCAAGCGGTCGCCTTGAGAAGGACCATGGCAAGAGGGTGTATTGCTATGCAAGCCGTAAAGTAAACAATAAATGACAAAAATCAAATGGAAAACACATATGAGCTGGCCCTACTTCCAACACCTGCAGCTGACTAGGAGGAAGCTGCCGCTAGTACGCATCTTTTGAATTCTTGGCGTTGCTCTTCAGACGCAAAGAACAGTGTAAGTAAGGCGAATGGCTCAATACTCCTTGCTCCTCTTGCTTCACCGTTGTTGTGTGCACGTGGCGGTAAGCCTGCTTGCTGAGTCTCGGTGCATGTAGGTGGACAGTGCTGCTGCCCGTGAGTTCCACACGCATGCATGTGCACAGACCGGGGGCGGGTAGCGGGGGGATCATGCACCTTCCACGGCCCAACTGCTGGTGTTTTGTTTCCATGTGATTTGTACCTTGATGGGACGCTTTCACATATGTCCTTCCCTTCGTCACATTCGACATGAGCAGTGGCCTTCTGGTCAGCATTTCTGATACTCTTCCTCCCTGGCTTGCAGAAGTTCGTCAGCGTGCAACAGGAAATTAGCGATGCAATATCACAATTCAACGAGCGCATACCGCATGTCCAGCGCCTTCCAGAATTAATGGAGCGTATAGGAATGTGAAGAACAAGGGGATATGCATTGGAGGCTGATAAGAGCGGTGTTCCTGCGTCGCTGAGGTAGCGGCGTATTCGGCTGTTCATAAACAAATCAGTAGATTCGTCCTGTAGCATGCCTAGAAGCTTGCACATGACATCTTGCGGATTCTCGTGCTGCATTAAAACAGAAGCTGATGCAGCGCCTCGTTTATTCCCCGCTACAGCAACCTCGTCACACGGTTGCACAGTACCAGACGACAGGGGAATACGGAGTTCTTCAAGCGCACAGCGACTGCTGCACCAAAGTAAATTCAGGTAAGCAACAGAGGACGCTTTCGTAGATCCGCTGGCGTTCGAGTGTTCGGGTGCACTAGTCATCTTGACAAGAACCCGCTGGCCTCTCCGCAAGTCTTCAAACCCGTCAAGATGGATGTCTGTGGGATGCGCCAGGACGACCTTCGCCGTTAAATATTTGCTTTGGGATGAATTTGAAGTTGTATGGAAGGAAATTGCATCTGGCTCGTTTTTTTGTTTAAACAGACGAGGACTTAAGGTGGAAGCGAAGGCGCAAGAACGACGGGTATCTATCGAAGGTAAATGAAGATCCTGCACGGACTGAAAAAAACGGCACACAGCAAACAAGCGTATTCTGAGGGTTTCTCTTGCGTCATGCCTTCTTCCCATATCTGCTCTAGGTCTGCCTTGTCGATTTATGTACAAAAGCTGTCCTAATAGGCACGCAACAGTTTACAAAATGCCCAATGCAACAGTGAAGAGTTCCCGCCGATTTACCCTTGGAGTCACGGCGCTTCTGTCGAGGAGAAAGTCTGCCAGTTTAAGGGTCCACAGATACTGAAATGCCGAATGCATTTCAACAGACCGTCTCACGGCAGCTGGAGTCGGCGGCGTTGCCAAATAATATGAAAGTGAAAGCAGCAAAATGGAATACAGGAAAGCCGCAACGACTGCCACAGCATCTGAGATTGAACGCACACGGCAAGACAATGACAGAGCAGCGTATAGGACTAGACATTCCATCTTTCCAGAAGGGTTGGTACTTTTTGGCGCAGCAGGCCCGCATTAAAGAAGAGTGCCACGAGCATTGTGAAGCCGTCCTACTTGCAGCTATACCACCAGGAGGCAGAAGGGAACCTCCAGAGGTGAACAACAATGTGGAAGCGCTAATAAACCGGCTATGGAGTGGCAAAGGCAAGCAAAAGCCATATCCAATCCAACACGAGATTTAGCTAGCGATGAATACATTAGGGCAAACTGCCATGTAAAGCTCACCTGCTGTCTGAATTTGAAGGCGATGTGAGGCATCCGTTGCTTGTCCGTTGCACACAAGGCCAGCAATAAAGGCAGCGGCCCCGAGACCCGCGACAGTATTCACTGCAATAAAACGCCGTCCCATGGTGCGGCCAACATCCAGTCCTGGAGAACCGTGCGTTAGTAAGTCTGAAAGTACCGGACGCAACTCAGCTTTAACCCTCAGCACTCTGGTTTGGAAAACATATCTCTAGGCAGGGATACCAAGACCCCAACGAGCCGATTGAAACAGGTATGTCGTTCTTTTAGCCTGCGCACTGAGGAAGTTGGGTGAAGATGAAACAGGCTCGAGTGCTCCCATATGACTACCTACGTCCGGTCTGATGCTCTTTGCCAGCAAAGCCTTTTCATGCTTACCAACGAAGGAGTTGCACAGGAGCTGGAGCAACTTCCCGCATTCTCTCGTGCCATCAGCTTGATGAAACACTTCTTCTTCTGGCCGCAGTACTTTCAACTAATCACAACAGAGCAATTATCCGCACAGTGGCATTCGGCATCTAGCAGGGAAGTACTACTTCCTAACTGTGTCATGGAGATGTAGAACAACTGTTATGTGAGTGAAGCAATCGTGTGTGCATTTTTTTGAAGCACGGTTTTGTTCGTCTTTCTCTTCTTGCCTCTTGACGGAATCTTACCGACAAAAGGATGCGCTCACGAAGGTCCAGGTCGAGAGAGCATTTAAGCGCTTTCCACTTGAAGAGAGACCCTGTCAGCTGAACAGCTCCAGTGCATAGTGCGAGGACAAACGAGAGCGCCACGGCAAATCCAACAAATTGACGAGGGCCTCTACCACCGTCAAACAGATATATTACCAGAAGCAGCGCCCACACAGCCAAAAACATGCAGCTAAGTATCAGCAGATGCAGTCGGGGACCGAAGGCCCACCTGCAGAGTCACAAAAAGCAGTACAAATCCGAATCTCATTCATCCTGTTATGAATAAAAAGGCCCTTGTTGACCCGAAAATATCCTCGCTCAATTGTGCGCTGAAACGCACGATACCGCGTGCTTTTTAACAGAGCACGAGCATTCTACGTCATGCATATGTGTAAATCTCCTAAAGGTGTCAGCAATCACCCGCTGATAGCTCTGCTGATTGCCTCGACGACTTCAATTGAACGAGTAGTTGCCGCGTCTGGATTGCGGGAGGGCACGATAGAAGCGCTGTAGTGGTGAAAGGGTACAGCGAAGTCTCCGTCACCAAGGGAGGCGCTGCTCTGGCGGCTGGTATGCTGGCCTACTACCCCTTCGTTCTCAGCGTCGTGGGTAAGGAATGTGCTGCCCTCATGCCACGCGTCTGCCTCGACAGTAATGGCGTCATCGGATGATTTCAGGACCACTATTTGAATAGGCTCTGTATCTCTTGTCCATGACCTCTCCTTTTCGGCAGTAGCCTCGACTTCTGCTTTAGCATCAGTTGCAGCTCTTGCTGCACCTGCAGGCGCTTCTGGTGTATATGCCACCTGCAACCCGTTACGCAGCAGCTTTTCGCTTCCACTCCCCTCAAAGCGCTGTCCGTTCTTATTCTCCCTAAACATCACCTGAGCTGTGCTGCTGCAGACGCATTTGCTTTCTCGAGCTACTGCCCACTCTTCAGCTTCCAGTTCCCCTGCATGCGATGACGCCGCAGAGGTCCCTGCGGTGTCATCTTTTGAAGTTCGCTGACGCTTCCGAGAAGCCTGCAGAGACAGGTGTACCAGACGCTGAACGGATGCTGCTGTTGTAACTGTTCTCACGAAGTAGGTGCAGAGTTGTGCAGAATGAGGACAGCTCTAAGTGGCATGGCACGCCGTTGGTGGATCGGAAACAACAGCTAATGGCAAGTAAATTGCTCTGAAAACCCTACTCACCGAGTTGCGCATGTGGTGAGAGGATGCAAAAGACCTCCCAGCGGCTGCAGCTTCAGTTGATGCGTCATCGCTTGCCATTGACTGAACGGACCTGAGTCGGGTGTCATCGGCAGCAGCAGCAAGTTGCACTTCCGTAGTAACACGGGGGCCTGCTGCAGCTTCGTCCGCAGCAGTTCTCAGTTGCTCACAGTTGCCTGTGGAGTGCAACCGGGTGCTGGTGTAGCTGCTCATTCGTGTCGAGTCCAGCATGGGTTCCCCTGATTGCTCTCTAGATGCTGTGCTTGGAGGCTCTTCAGGGAACTGCCCTGGGGAGGCTTCCTGGTCTTCTTCAAAACGTCGAGGTGCCGTATTGTACGCGTGTTCTCGCATCTCTTGTTCCTCTTCGAACTCCACTGTTTGGTTCTGTTCCTCAGAAGGCCGTTGGGCCTTACCTTCTTGAACTGCTGACCCCGCCGATATGACTCCTTTGTAGTTGAAAGGCGACTCCTCACCAGTGCTAGAAAGGTCGTCAGCAGTGGAATAGCGAACTTCCCACACCTCCGGGTCTCCCAAACGCAGCAACGGCGCATTTCCGTGGTCTCCTTCTACACGCACAGCTGATGATTCCGCTGCTGCTGCTCTTGCACCTGGCAACAAGCCCTCAACCGCCGCTTTGCCGTCACTAGAAGCATCATCAGATCCCTTATCTGCAGCCACTGTGCCATGAGTGCCCCCATTATCCGCCTCGCCATCTTCAGAGTGCAGAGATGTGCCGCTGAGGAAATCTACCATTCTTCTCATCCTGTTAGCAGCCCCGTTTGCACTATACAGATCATGCAGGTCCCCCCCGTTGTCTGACTGATTACTTGCCTTGCTGAGACTATCATGTGCAGCGTGAGAGGAGCTCGCAGAACGCCCCCATACCGCATCAAATGCCCCGGGAACCTCTTCGCTGCTGCATTCTTCCGGAAGAAGCTCTGGCACATTATCTGCTCGTGCTGAAATTGCCGCATTATCTAACGTCATGGGGCTCCGATGCTCGCTAGTGCAAGGGCTGTGGGTTCCAGCTTCGGAAATTTTGCTTCTTGCGTTTTCTCCCTCTGGCTCTTCGTCACTGGCGAAATAGTGCCACTGTAATATTTCCGGGCCTTGTGAGGTTTCTTCTTGTTGCGGTTGCTCTGGAGATATGCGAATGTTTTCTTCAAATATTTGTTCTCCTGATTCCCAGTCATGTTCCCTCACAATCGTTTCCAGGAGAGTGGAGCGCTCGCGACGCTTTGACTTTCCTGGAGGAGGTCCGATTATCTCCACCCCTTCACTCTGTGAGGGGGATGAGCCGCCGACCTCCCTCAGACGAAAAGGAGTTGTTTCCCTAAGCTGCTCCTGAAGGCGAGCCTTTTGTGCCTGGGATTCTGCAGCTTCCAGCGAAAAAAGCGTTGCAATGTGCCGCCTATCTTCCCTGCAGCAATCCAGAGGGAAGATATTCTTGCGCTGCCTGTCTTGAATTCACGTTCTGCTGAACAAAGCTTGGGCCATCGTAGCGTCACGAGAACAATAACACTACTGCTACTTTCTGTGACGTTGTGAACGTGCCAGCCAGTGTCTTACCTGACAGAAGCCTGCTCTTCGTCCCCCGTAGGCTGCATCATTGAGGGGACGGGGCGCCTCTCCTCGGCAGCGTTCCCGCAGAGACGCAAAGGGGGTATATAAAGAAAGTGTTCGGGTATAACGCCGTCTTGTTGAGAATGATGTTCATATCTATTTCCTACAGATGATCGACCTGAGGAAGGTGGGCTAAAAGATGATGAAATGCGAACTTCGTCACCTGTGCACACGTAGAGGGAGAAGCCAGCAACATAAACTAGACACCTAGATACAGGTTTCAAGTCATTCGCTGGGTGAGAATACAGATATGTGTTGTCTGCTTATACTAATGCCTATTCGTGGATTTAGAACCTCTAGAATTCATTATCCCCCATATTTGGGGTGCCAAGCCAAGGGCGTCTGCCGATGCGACGCGGAAACTTTACCTTGTATGGAGTCGGTTTGCTCAACAGAAACAGAAAAGCATTCCTCGTCGGTTTGTTGCGCAAGAGGAGCCGGTTCGTGTTGTTCAGTAGCTTTGCCGCCAAAAACATCAACTTCGTCGTTTCCCGAGGTGAAGTCGCCGTCTACTAATCCCAACAATATCTTTTCAAAGGTTGGAGGGGGAAGGCGGCGGGGAGACATCAATTTTTTAGGAGGAGGCCGAGACGCGCTTTTGCAATGCAGTTCTTCCGGGTTGCGCTTCTTGGGGCAGAGAACAGTCCCCTCCTTCTTCCGCTTGTCTTGTGTTTCACGTCTGGATCTACTGTGACTTCTGCGGTGGCCATGACGTCGACTGCTACCAGATCGTCCCCTGCAGTCCTCTGATTCATCACGACTCTTAGTTCTGTCCGTTTTACTGTGTGGGAGGGAAAGGACAGTGAAAGTTTGAGGGCTTTCGGTTCCCCGACCGCTGCTGCCCAGCTCTGCGCGGGCTACAGGGGACTGCGATGGCGAAGGAGAAGAGGTATCCAACCAGGCCCGAGCAGCTATAGCTGGGCTGCTGACTCTTCGTCTCCCTGAGAGCTGAGACATGACGCTAGGACTGCGAGAACCCTCAGAAGGAGGCGTTCGGGGCGACCGCTGAGAGAGGAGCTTCATGAAGGCCGGTGATGTGGGCCTTTCAGCAACTGAATGTGCGCCATGGCGACTGCGCGAGGAAGAAGCTATAGACTGGTCAGACCCTTCTATCCCCTGACGGACTCCCCAAGGATTCCGTTCAAGACTTCGCCACGTACTTCTGGAGCGGCTGGGGGAAGGAGCGGGACCAACTAAGGATTCTGCAGCCAAAGAAGGACGCAGCCGGGCCCCTGAACTGGAGCATTTCCCAGAGTGGATAGAGTAGTTGTCCATTGAGGGCGGAAATATTGACAGCAAGTTCACGCCGACACCTCTGGCATGTCAAAGGATGACAAATTAATCGAATGGTAGCGCTTCTACTATTGTTTCCTCCTATGTTTGCGCTCACAGGCACTGAAAACGATATGAATATCACAAAATTAAACAAAGGCCTCTCGTTCCTTGAGCAGTAAGAGTTTTCTGCGGAAGTTAAATCAAATGCTGGTGGTCTGCAGTGCTGCCGACGAGTCCCTTGGGCGGGGCAGGGACAAGGAGCTCTTGCCAGAAAATACAGGGGAGTAAGGAAAGCATCTACGAATGCATCCGAAATGTGTTTCTACTCGGGACATTTTGGTTAGTTGTGAAATGAGGAAAAGTTTCCACCGGTCACTGGGCCCACGGGCCTGCGATCAGCCCCCGGTCATCGTGGTCATGCGTTCTGCAGCCGACAGGAGAGAAATGCTTCCTTTTAAGTAACCATCGACGTCAAAAGTAAATATGGGCAACAATTTATTTTTTGTTCAGTCCGAAGTCGCATATCATTGAGTTGCGGACTGCACAAAGAGCAGTACAGCTGATCATTTGCTGTTGTGTAACCCAAGGCGCTGATCTGGCTGTGAGGCGGGGGCAAGATCTAACCGAAACTGCTTCCACTAAGGAAGAATCAATTATATTCTTCGAGATACTTCAACAGACAGTCAAAGGTCTTACCTCTCCTGGACTTCCGCCACACAACAGAGTGCCCGCCAACCAGCGACGAACTTTCTGCCTGCCCAGACCGGGGGACTTTATCCGAGGTCGTAACCATGTCCAAAGAACAAATAGGAAAATCATTCTAACTCACAACCTTCCAGCAACTATGTCTGAAACCATCAGCTCTCCCTGCACTCCCGGGCATGCGGCGGCCACCGACGCTCACGATGCCCCAGCACCAGCAGATCTTGGCTTGGGTGTTAATGCAGTGGAAGAACAAGTCAGCGAGTTGCTGTTCACCTGCAGGCAGCTCATCAGAAGCATAAGGGTCCTCATATAAATCCTGCTCGTCCTCGTGGGTGCTGTGGTCCTGACACCAAGTGTTTTGCTTTCCCTTTTGTTTGTTTCTGTTATATTGCAGCTCGAACAACTCACGCAGTTGGTTCAAAAGCTTACGGCGCGTATCGCTAGCGAAGAAGACTCTAGAGAGCTCTTGAGGGCTCAGCTTGATGAGGCATATGCGGCAAGCTCACAGTCTACGCAGATACGAACAATTGCCTCCTTGCTTACTTTTCCCGCCAGCGGGCAACTGCACACTCATATGCCAATCACACGTAAACTATCGTGTATGCTCTACTCATTGTACGCATACGCAAACACACATGCTGCATATATATGCGTCTGCTTCTGTTGCACATGTTGACATGCAGCAACTGGCAGACGTTCGAACTGATCATCCTCTTGTTCCCGAGGGAGGCTGCGCCGCGCAGCCCCAACTTACGTAAGAAAGCGCAAGCCTTACACACTATATTGCACATAAGGCACAAAAATGCACAAGTGTTTTCGGATGAGCAAAATTGCGTTTGCTGTGTCAGATATGGTGCCGTTCACTGCGTCTCGTGCCTGATATCGCAGATGGGTTGAAGCAAATCAACAGCAGCTAACTAAGGTAAGCAATATCCCGCACTGCTCCATTAAGTTTGGCGAAACGCAGTAAAAATGCTGATATGATACTGCTCAAAAAGATGGTGTCTTCTGCAGGCCACAAGAACCGCAGAAGAGCTTCAGTATTTATTGGAGCAAGAGCGCGCCAGAAATACAGAAATGCGCATGCAGTATGAGCGTCAGCTTAAGCTGATCCGCAGTGGAATTCAGAAGGAGAAACGCAACTTGAAGCAGTCGCTCGTTCAACAGGTCGACGTCATTGTTCGAAAGTACAGAAACCTTGCAACAGAAGCTGTTGAGGCAGCGCGACAGGAACGCCAAAAAGTCAAAACAGAGAGAATCAAAGCGCGAGAACTTGCGGAAACCGCTTGCCGAAATTTTGAAAGGGATTTAAAGGAAAGAACCAGGGTGAGTGTGTGTGAGAGCATGCTTTCTCCCTTATGTGCTAGGCGATGCAGTGGCTGTATTTGGCCCCAGCAGTTTGCCTTCTGATGTACTGCTACAGTGCCTGTTGTATGTACTTCAGAAAGCTCTGGAAGAATATCGACAATTGGCTCAAGAAGCTCACAAGGCAGCACAAGCTGAGCGGGAGGAGCTTCGCACCAAGTGGTGGGTGGCTCGACGTCAATTGCTCTTTCTCTTAAGCGCCCCTGCTGTTAACTCTATAATATCATTATTAGAACATGGATATCGTAGCGAATTCTCAACAATATTTATAATAATTGTGAATCTCTCTGTACGCAGTGCAAACCTTGAAAAGGCAATGATAAATAAACGCCAGCAATTTGACGCTCTCGTCATCCGCGTAAGTTGAAGAGTATCCCCTAAGGATCTGGCTTTAACATACTGCAGACTATCAGACGACGTTCATCTTATTCAATGCGCATGCCTTTTTCCTTCGGCATTGCCTGGGTTCTGGGGTTCGCAGGAGGCCGAAAAGAGAATTCAGTGCTACCGGTTGAGCCACCAGAGCATGAAGGAGCAACTCGAGAAGGAGCGGCAGCAATTTGGGCAGATGATGAGCGAAGTAGCCCAGCGGGTACAAGGCGTTCCTACTGCTAAAGCACACTGTTGTTGCCACATCGCAAAATCTAAATATACTATCTGCGGCAGCATCTGCACAAACGAGGGCTTGCCCATTGCATTTGGTTGCCAAATGCTCTGAAAGGCCTCACATAACAGTAGCCTGAGAGGGCAGTGAAAATTATCGAATGGAGTACAGAATGCGAATACCTGCCAACAAAGATCAATTTCGCCATGCAGTGGCGGGGTGTTTCTGCCCGCAGGTGGAGAAGGAATGCAGCGAATACGACACTGCCATGTTGAAAGCAGTAGCGGTGTTCTGCAAGACAAAGGGTGTAGATGTTGACGAATCGACTTTGCGACAACAGCTCGGAGACATTCGTATTCAGCGCTTGAAGGAAGCGGGCCGAGAATCTCAAGTACGTTTCCATATATTGCTGAATATCTGGAAAGTGTGTAGGAAAAGCGAGGGCGAACAGCATGTTAATATGCGCCTCCAATGAAGCTTCACGTACATGCGGCACAACTGAATATTACTGCAATGCGCTGAGCTTGTGTGCATGCAGCAGCCAAATCTGCGCCCGCTAACAGTCAAGTACGGCTTCCAGGCAATTACTCCCCGGGGCTCCAACTGATAATCACTTCATCTGCTCAGTGCCGAAGAGAGTAACCTAGCAGCAACACGACATTAAAATTGCCGGAAGTTCCCAAAAAAAAACACTGCTCGAAGGCTGCCGCCGTCCAATTTTTTTCTGTTTTGTTTCAATACCGCCCGGCGCGCACCATGCACACCTCCACGCAGCATCCCACAAAGCCAAATGTTTTCCAGCTTTTCAAGTGACTTCGTGAGAAGGTCCCTTGAAAAATTGAGGTCTGCATATACTCATATTTTATATTTAAGCAGATATATACAGAAGGATTACCCCTACACAAAACAAAGTTGTATTTACACCGCAGCTCAGCAACAATGTAGTAAGTTTAACATGATGTAGATATTCTTAGTGCCCTGTAATCTGCATTCGGCAAAAATACATAGGCCCAAATCTAGATACATCGGGAAGCATTGCATACCCATACTTCAACTTTTCAACGAAAAACATAATTGAGCTGTCGCTGTGTTCTGTGGTTTTGCACAACCCCGATCCTTTCCCCTCTAAAAGTTTGACTTCCGCAGGCCACTCGCCATCGAAGAGGGGCAGTACCTTTATGTTCCTTGCCGTCTTCTTCAGAAACTTCTCAATGACCTGTATCAAATGGCGCCAAAGTGGGAGGACAAGCAAAACTACTCCAAAATATATCACACCTCAGCGCCCTCAAACTGATTGCAGCCATTTTTAATTCGGGCAATCGAAGTCACGATTTGCACATTGACTACAGCGTAGCTGCAATGCTGCTCCTGTGCACCTACAGCATCATTTTCTAGCTCCGACAAAGCGCAAGTACTGTACAAAAGAATGCCATCCTTCTTCAAAAGCTTTGAGGCAATGAGGAGCATCTTCAGCTGCCGTTCTGCATGAGCTTTGGGGGTGCCTGTGCAGCCACCGCAATTAAATTCGGCCACGACCGACTGTTGCAACCACAATAAAATGGTCCCTTGAAAATAGGGGCGAAATGGACTGGAGGGATCAGACGCATATCATACTACCAGCGTGAAACGTACTCAGTGACCAATTCCCCATAGCAGATCCTCCTTTGTGCAAAAGGTGCCTGTCAGAGGAACAAGGCGCGTCTAAGAGAACTCGGTCGTACGGAGCGAAACGTTCTGAATACATTGTATCATCAAACGCATGTCATTCCGCAACATAACGTCTGCCCACACGTCGTTGCACGCACCGACGTAACTCATAATACTCAAGAGCTGCCGCTACAGGGAGCATTTGTACTGCAGCTTTGCGAGGGTTGGGGTGGCTTAGCGCTGGACCCACCGAATGGGCCACCCTTGCAGATGTCTGCACAACTGAACTGAAGCCGCTGTCTGCACACAACAGTATACGCAAACTTGGCGCACAAATTCTAGATGCAAACCAGAAGCATGAATGCTTGCAGGGAAACCCGTTGTCAAGGTGTGACTCACCCTGCCGTAGAGTAGGGGGGCAGGAACTTGTTGAGGGTGTTTTGAAGTCTGAACAAAAGCGATGCACTCATAACCATTACCCGTGTATGTCCAGCTGCAAAACCTGCCCTCAACTGCGTATGGATAAACAGTTTACATGGGTAATAAACAGTGTACTGGAGGAGAAAAGCTCAGCTTACCGAGCCAGCCTGTCACGGCTGATGTCATTACACACCAACAGGCCTGCCGTTTCATCGTCATTCTCGACACTATCGGCTTCACTCAGCATGCTGTGATTCCCAAATACACAAGCTGGAACCTTCGCTTGCGTAAGCATTGACAAAATAATCAATGACTTGCCACCAGGTGCCTAAAGGCATGCTCACACAAACACGGGTTCGGTCGTTTGTTTCCTCAACAGAAAGTCTATATGACTCGCCTTGCGTACCCACCTACACGCCGCTCGCTCAGCATTACGACTGGAACATGTAAATATTGTACTCACAGCACACATATCTAGCACAACTTCGCCAGGACGTGCACCGAGGATAAATCCAGCAAGAGCTGATGCTCCATCTGCAGGGGCGCAATACATAAACAACCTATCCTGTACAGTTTGAATGCAGACGCCAGAAGCTGTATCTTCCTGTCTAGCGTCTTACGTTACTGATGTCGTCTGGAAATTACCTAAAAAGTATGTTTTGGCCATCGCCTCTGCCGCAACATGTTCATCTTCGACAATCGCTACATTTTCACTCATATTCTGGTCAAATGGAAGCTGAACTCTAGGGTCTGGGGTGACTGATTCAGCACTTTCGCCACCTGCACATTTTGAATCCGTTTCTGGTACTTTTCGGCCCGCATCATAGGAGAAGCAATTCGGGATCAAACACGGCACAAACCGCGGCTTCCTCAGTAGATAGCGAACCGCGCTGTAAGATATGTGAGGCGCAACGAACGCTAATTGAGTTGGGACTTCTGCAAGAGCGTTCAGCAGTAGTTTCCAACGGTCTGCCCCATACTGCTTGCTGTATGTAGCACTCCAGCACGCACCACCCCGGATGCTCATGCTGACAAAAACGCCGGTGCCTAGCAAGCCAAAATAAAGTGTAAATGTCAAACAAAATATAAAACAGTCCTATGCTATTACCATGTGGGAATGGCAATGCAGTTTCAGGAATACGTTGAATTGACTTCGGTATTAACGCTACTTCGACGGTTCTTATTGGTTTGCAGATTTATGGGGAGGCCTTAAGACCAACCTGTAGGTAGGTAGGTAGTGTAAGAAAGAGCAATTTTTAAATGCAAATTCCAATACTCTTCTAACGAGTCACACACCAATGGAAGCCTGTATCCAAGGGCATGCAGTGTAGTGGGGTGTCGAGCAGTCCCGCAGAGTCAAGACGGCTACATGAGGGTTCAGCACAAGAAAGTCCTAAAATACGACCTAATGCGTATATATTTATATGCATTCCCAACTTTATATGTATGAACCAAAATAAAAATACATACATATAGCACTATCGAACCCACGCCGCGCGCCTGTCGAAGAATACTCTAAGTGTAGCGGTGTAGCGAAATGTTTAGTCACTACCTGGGTACCAGACTAGGTCTAGATGGAAAGGAAATAGTATTGTTGCTTTATAGAAGAACTATGCCTATGAATAGGACATTTGGGTGGGTAGCAAGTTATAGGTCAGGCACCGTCGTCCTACAGGTCCGGCACTGATCCCCACTGAAGACCGGAGTCAGTTCCGAGCCCAGAGTTCCATTATTCTCGGAACTTCCGTTGTTTATAATAGAGACTCGAATATGATTTGCAACTTTAAGTATTAACTTCTGGGAATTTTGGTAGTTAGAGGATGTAGCTAGGTAGCCAGAGTCTATGAGATGAAAAGTAGGCACAGCTGAGGACGGCTGCGCACTACATTTGGGGGTTGTTCCGGGAAGTTATATACAATTTTCCAACCCAGTGACCCAAATGTCAGTTCCACTCTCCCCTCCATTCTATAATGGAGAGTTTAATGGGAATCATCCGCAGTACACCTGAAGTGCTAGGGGCAAAGGCGTGGGGATCCAGTTTGTGATTGTACGGAATTGCGGGGAGCACACCTTGAGAGGAGGACAAAGGGGACCTTCCCCGATACGAAAATTCCATTATAGACTGCATTAGATGATTATCAGGAGTCAACAACACCTGAGGTGGATTACTTTAGGAGGGCTGCTCTCCACATTCAAAATGCGGATGTAGATGATGTTTTTCGCGGCAGGTTTACCTCAGGTCCACTAGGGACGAAGTCGAGGAGACGCAGCAAGCAGAACACGAGCTCTGCGTAAGGGACACAGAAGGGGCGGCAGAGGCCGCTAACCTGATTGACAAGGGTGTGATGACCACATGGTGGCGAGAGGCTAGTCAGGCCGCCGAGCTTGATAGGCGTTTAGATTGGTGCGGTGTGGGCACTACCGCATTTCTGAGGTTAGATGTGGCTGGGAGCCAATACGAGGCGTTCGTGGACAGGGAGTCCGCTGATTCCTGCAGGGTCGATATTCCACAAGATATGCTGCGCTCAAGATAAGACCTACTATAACACAGATGGATTCCATCCGTATATGTCCTCGGGACAGAGGCCCCAGATTTTGGAACTGAGAGATGTACGCCTGCCATGCTTTCGAACTCATTTCGTTGCAGCACAAGGCGCAAGAGGACCACGCAGGCAAACCCAGCCGAGCCTTTTCAGCAACATGCGCTAACACTGAGTTTGCTTGCCCGGCATTGCCCCGCATTTACTTATTACGGGAGCGTAAGGATTCCAGAACCAACTGCAGACAGTGCTTCTCTGTACATACGCCTCTGCAGTGCTTTCAGGGGGACGCATGCGAGCCTTCCACAGGGCCATCTGTGGCACCCGTATGATTATGTTGTGTCCAATTCAATTTCCCAGCTGAATGGCAAATCGGACCACCCTCTCAATTGAGTTCAATGCCGATAGCGTCTTGCCCGCGGGCATGTGCTTGCAATTACCTACTCCTAGAAGAGAAGATTGTGAAAACGAAGCCCCCTCCAAAGAGCTTCAAAACACAGACCCTGTTTGCAGCCTGTGTCCAGTAGAGAGAACAAATCCTGGCAATTAGTACAAGCTTAAATCATCATAAAGTGAACTCGAGGCGGGCCTGCTAGTGCAGCTGTCACCAACTTGTGCCCGATCACTGCCCGGCACCTTGCGCAGAGGCATCGCAACCCTTGCTGTCGCGTTGCATTTTCGCCACACAGTGCCGCTCCAAATTTTGTTCGTATAGGACCTTAGCATGTTTTGGTCATATAAGCTATCCAACCACGTAGTCTTTTCGTTTGCAGACGAAGCAGATGCGCCTCTGGGTGCCACATTCGGGGTTTCTTGACGGCGAATTCAGAAGCAGCAGACCGTTACTTCTTTATCTTTTTCTGAGTTGGGTTCGCCAATTCAATCCCCATATTCACGCATCCTGCGAACACACATTTTGCTAATTGCTCAATTACCTTTTCGCTTTTGAGGTTCTCGGAAATGACGCAGGCCGCAGGTCAAATATTTGGGCGTTAAAAGAGACAAAGTCTCCCCTGGCTGGCAGGTCCTGAACAGGTGCCATGAAAATGACTGCAAGCAATAAATACACAGGTTGCTCTTCCTACACTTAGGAAAATTTGGACTTCTTAAGGCTACACTTGATGTTTGGAAGGCCAACTCAAAATGAATTTGTCGTTTTCCGGTGGCCTTCACAAAAACCCTGAGGGCGTAGGCGCTGACGGCGAATGCGGACCTCCTTTTCTGCCCGTTTCCCAGCATCCTGGATCTTAGCGCGAGCATCTGTTGTTTCAACAACAGAGGGCTCGCGCTAAGATCCAGGAGGAGCGCTTTGATAGCAAGCTTTGATAGGGAGGGGATCCTGCATTCATTGGAGAAGGGTTTTCCACACCTTTCCATCTCTGGCTCCCTCCCTCCGAGCTACTTGCCTAACCCAGGTCCTGTACAATTGTTTTGAATACCATTGGTTGCATTTGGCGGCTACAAGGGAGGTGCGCCTAGCAAAAGGTACCGCAGTATAGCTTTTACTAGGTCCCCCATTCCATAAGTCTCTGCAACGGGTTTTGTGGGAGAATGACAGTTCAACTGATCCTCGTGGCTGCAGGCAAGTGGGGGATCACAAGACAAGGGCTCCTAAGGGGAGACACGCCAGTCGTTCGTCGATCCCCTTTTTTGACCCATTAGCGATGGAGTTGTTACCGTGTGCAAACAGCCTACAAATTGTTGCACGCAGCCCCTGACTGGGCATCCGCAATATTACACGCTAGCCGTGTGACCGCCTAGGGTTTTCGCTGTCCACCAAATGCCGCAGTGAATGAACACCAGTTCCTTTGACTGCACTCCTGCAATGCAGCAAGTTCCAACGTAGTCAGATTGGCAAATGGTTTCTTCCAATACTGCACTCCCCATAAAAAGACTCCAAACCGACCAAAGGGAGTCACGTCTTGGCTGAGTTGTGAACATTCACGAACAAAACCCCATGCTACCCGCCCTCACTCTGCTGGGCTGAGCAGGGAGGCAAGATGCTTCGCAGAGCGAAAATCGGTGTAGGGGACTTAGTGCTTCCATATGTACATCCCGACCGACCACTGACTTGACGACGTCCACCAGTAGGGCTAAGATCAGCATCGTGTATTTCATGTTTCCAACATCCCCTTGAACCCGACCAACAGCTGACCCCTCGATGCATGGACGGCACTCCCAGGAACTCCGACGCAATAAGCAGAAGTGTTGTTTGGAAAGTGGCTATTGAAGAAAAGTTGGTGTTACTGAAAGCATATGAAGAAGCCTCACTCCGTGAACACAGTGGAGTTTGGCGCTCGCCTGTTGCTAGCACCAAATTTGAATCTATGATAGCTTGGACTAGCTAGTTGTCCCCAGCAGTACTGCATCCCTCTAGAAACTGTGTAACACGGTCAGCGAGACCCCTTGCCATTTGAAGACTGAGTGCTAGGGACTACGCAGCGATCCCTGGAGGGCGCAACTGACGTTGAGATGACAGATCCGCATGGCGCGTTGTGAAGTTTGGTCGAGCGAAGACGGCCATTGCGCCTTAGCCTCTCCCACTAATAGTTGTACACTCTCTCTCTCTCTCTCTCTCAGAAAATATGTCTTATCATCTGCAACGGGGTAATTCCGGCGTTGATGGCTCCTTTGCCTGGCCCTGACGAAGGCTGGCAGTGCTTAGCTTGCAGGGTTACAGGTGTTTCGACAGCCCCGAACAACCTCATGCACGCACTAAGCAACCCAATAGAAGTGGAGTGGAGTTGTCACCGCACAACTAATGGCACAGACAGTTAAATGCGGAGGTTCCATAAACAAGCCAAGACTACCAAAGGGGCCTGCCCGAAGGAGGAAGTGCGTTGCTTATGTGTTACTCACAATTAGTCATAAACGTAATGCCCCCCCCAACAGAGTTTCAAACTATCGTGGAATACATAGAACTTATGGTTTTAGTTTTGATGTTTGAAATGAATCCTCCTGTAAATGTGGGGGAATGGGCACAATCCGTTCTGTCCCAGTCCCCGGCTGGTGCACCGAACCTTCGTAGAGGCGGAGCAAAATAATTCATTCTGACGCTGTCCCAGCAGCTACTACTCAACGCCAACGGCAGCACAGTCACCAGATCAGCAGTCCGGCCCACAGGGCTCTCATCTTCAATAAAGCCGAGATACGCAGGAATGTGGGCCATACCTTGACGTTACAGGTGCCGAGTAGAGGTGCAACTTTGGACCGCCACCCGTCAAATGGTGCCATCACATTGACGGCATGCCTGTGGCTGCAGGTTTGCGAAACCATATTAAGATGGCACATGACGTGATATAAATATCCTAAAACAAAGAAGCTCCCAGGTTTCACAATAATTCAGCTTGCTCAACGTCACTGTTGCCACAATACTTCCATCCCTCACACCTCCTACGTAGCGACTGCACTCAATCTTCACTTGCTGTTCGACTTCTGTAGTGCACCTTCATGCGACTCACTTGAATATGTGCTTTTGACTCGTTTAACCGCTAGGCGCTAGCATCCTAATCCTGCACTTCTGGTACAGTATTCACATGAAGCCAATGACAATTGTGCCACACAGAAGGGTATTATACTAGGGCTTGCGGTGGCGCGCAGAGGACGCTTGCAGCTACTCTGCGTCCCGCGCCAGTGCGCTGGATAAGGTCAAATGGCCAAAGCCAAACAAACTGTTTCGCCAGCCGTTCGGCTCTCCCGTTGTGCTAAAGAAGCATGAGGGACAAGAAGGGTGGCGGACGCACGCCATGTCAGCACCTCGTAGCATGAAATCCTAAGGAGGACTGAACTGCGGAAGATAAGGCATGAGATGGGCCAACACGAGCTTATCAACCATCAGCGACCTCTGGCGGTTTGCTTCGTCTGCTGCCTCTGCGCGACACGATGGTTCTGGCGTTTCCTCTTCAAGAGGGGAGCGCTCACCGGTGGAGTCCTCCTCATCACTCGACGCCACATTGTTGCTGATAGGAGCTTTGCGCTTTTTCTTATGCGCCGGCGCAGAAGTTTCACTTGCTTGCAACGCGTTTCCATTCAGTTGCATGCAGTCCAAATTTGCCAAACTCCACGCTGCCCGAGTTTGCCACCGTGAAGCCCATTCAACACGCGCGCAGTACTCGGCGTCCAACCCGCTAAGTGCCAAAGTGTCTTCATCTGCCTGGACTGTATACACAACGCACGGGTCACTGCCCACTTGAGCTCTCGTCCCATAACAGCTCTCCCCTGGCTTCATATCACCCGCTCCCGCAGATGCCGAGCACGGCACGTTCTGGCGGGCGTGTGCTCGTAGACTCTTATCGGCTTGACAATTCGCGATCAGCTTGCTGAGTGCAGCAGCAGTCGCTGCATGTGGGCTTGTATAGAGAGTCACATGGCCTGTGCGTCTGTGTTGCGTACAGGCGCCACCTGCAGTTGTAGTTGCGGAAGGAGAATCAGAGGAGGCAGCAGAGCAGAGACCAGTACCCGAGGAGAAAGCCGACAATCCGCTGCGTCGGTGTGTTGCTCGAACACATGCGCGACAGACGATTGAAGACGGAGCTGCTGGCAGACGGAAGGTGCACGATGCGTCGAGCATCCGCGCAGTGTCCTCTAGCCGCATCATATCGCCGAAGAGCGCCGATGTTTCTGCACTTATTTCATACAAAGGAACTGTCTCTTCAGTGTCCTTCTCGGCATGGGGATCTTCCCCGTCATCTTCCACTGCTGTACCTACAGATTTACTTGTTGGAGATTCCTGAACAGCAGGCAACGTTGGTGAGAAAGAAGACTCATGAGGTGCACTCGGCCTCTCCTGCTGGCGCGATGTTACCGTCCCCGAAGCATCAGGTTTAGGCGGAGCAGATGCATGCAGACACTGCCTACGGAACTGCTTGAAAAACATTGTACCAGATGCCTTGAGGTGTTCGGTGAGGCTGTAACTGATTAGAGGTGACGGCCTCTGCACAGACCCAGGGCGGCACATGTAAAGCGGTGCCTGTTCGTCATCGTCATCGCTTTCAAGGCCTGCCATTCGTTCTATTCGCTGCCTTGAGGGCAAAACCCTGCTGGTCCTCCGGATGTACTTGAGGAAACGTCCCCATGAATGCAGCGCAGCGTCAACAGCGCGCTGTTCGTGCTCTTTGGTGTGCTCCCCTCGCCTCTGCACACCGTTCGTGGCAAGGTTCGGTGCATCTGAAGTTGCCGAAGTATGCAGGCTACTACCGGGTGGAGGCGATTCCCCTAACGAGGTTGTTGAATGCCAGCGGCGGGAGCAGTGAGAAGACGCCAGCGGGGATTCTCCAATGTCCGAATCTGAAGTGTCGCTGGTGGACTCAGCCCAGCGTTTCCCATTCCGACTAATATACTCAAGCGCCTCAGGTACCATGCATGCAGCAAATGCCCTCAGTTTACTCTCTAGGAACTCATCCCCGCCGCCCGATAGAGCAGCAGCGCCAGCCTCATGCCCATTTACTTCCTTGCTAATGCTGGAGGTCCGACGTCTGTCCCCCCTTGCAACTTTGTCGAGACATGGGGTAAGGAGTTTCTCCTTCTTCAGGAGCATCTGTTGTACCCACTGAGCCTTGAAGGCGCGGATTTCAGCTGCTCTCCGGGAACTTATACGGCACTCCGTGATCAACAAGCCGTCCGATGCACCGTCGTCTTCTGTCTCATCAATGTAAACGGCCACTCCATCGTCACTTCCTGACTCATCAGAAACAGCTGAGAAAATCTGGGGAGTTGAAATCTTTGACACAGAGTCAGGCACATCCTTCGAAGAGACCTGGCTGAGTAAACGCTGATCGCTAGTGCGCAATTCCGCACTGCAGCCTACCGAACCACATGCTCGTTGAGGAGATGAGGCGTGGGTTTCGAAACCGTTGCTTCTCATGTGGCATGAACCTAAGTGGACACCCTTGCATCCGCTCCAGTTCTCTTCTTGGTATTTCCCGCTAGAAAAATGAGTTTCGGGTGGTCTCCCTTTCAAGGGCAGGGACATCGACGCTTTGAGAGGGAGAAAGTTGCGAGGGGACATTGAGTTTCTGTGCAGATCGGGACTATTCTCGTCAGCCTCTGTACTTTCGGAAGCCAGTGGCATACAGGGGAACTCCGCAGCAATCCCACAAATAGCTTCTGCCTCCAGAAACGCGTCCCGTCCAGGACCCATTGTGCCGCTTCTGCCACAGACGTTTTGTTGTTACAACCCTTATACATCCATAGGCCACAGGGATTTCGGAACAAAGAAGGCGGACAAGGACTTGCAAGAAGGAGAAAATGCGTGCTCGCCTTCGCGCTTGTGATACTACCAACCTGCCCTCTTTCTGCCACCTGTCGCCGGAGTGGGCACAGCAATTTTGAGGCTGTTAGGATGCCTCACCCCACTCTACTGAATAACATCTTGGAGGCTGAGGCTTTCTGCTCGACGGAAATCCCTCGATCGCGAGGGCGGCCAGGGCGAGTAAAGACACGGAAAGCCGACGCCAGAGGCCTTTAGGGATGGCAAGCTGAAGGAAAAGATCCACTCCTGATGCCAGAAACCCCCAAGGATGAACAAGCAAAACCTCAAAAGTGAGACAACATCACTGAGATTGTCTCAAAAGGTGGAAGTCAACTCTGGACCGGAGGTGATGACGGCTGCCTGTCGCCTAGCAGGGGCGGATCGAAGGAGGGTGTTGACACGTATTCAAGCCAAAGTACTGCCACATGCAGCTTACTAGTCCACTCAGTCGCGAAACAAAATTCTCATGTGCAGCACCAAAATATGCAATGGGCCTACACTACCACCCGCAGCTACAGGGGGTGGGCCGGGGGGCTGGTGGATGCAGGGTTCGGCAGCAGTTATACCCTCCCTGCAGGGGATCAGAGCTATTAAAATATCTATGAAGATAAGATAAATATGGCCACTTCAGAGTGATCATGACTTACCAAAGTCAAGCGGCGGCTATTTTCAAGATAGGAAATCTCGGAAGGCGGTTCGCTCGGCGGAGAACCGTAGCCGCGTGTAGGAGGTTCCGGCTGCTGTAGGTGCATGCGTACATCTGTGCTAACATGTAGGAAACTGTAGGCCTAGTAAGTGTTTGCTAGCTGGCTGCTGATGTTCCTGCGCGCAACACAAGTGCAACATTGCCTGTGCGTTGTTTATACCAGAGGTCCTGGGTCTTGCCCATAGACAATGGCGAGTTGCATTTGGCCTACAATACTTAATATGGAAGTCTCTCAGATGCAACTGGCATCCACTTCAGTCTCAATGTGCCCTAGACTCAGCGGCTCAAGCGCTTGGGACAGTGTGCATCGTAGTCTATGGGTTGTTATCAAGCATATATGAAGCGAGCGCATACACTCTTACTTGCCCCTAGGAGATAAATTTTGCGCATGCAAAATTCGCAACAGCCATCTGCAGTCTCCGTACATACAGCGAAGAAGGTTTATTTGTGCGTTTATATGATGCTGCTCTGCACCTTGGGCTGTGCAGCAAGGTGCGTTGCAACACATGGTAAGCAGCAGCGGGTGGCGTCCTGGGCTGCGTGGCTCATACCCCTGGACCAGCGGGTGTATGAGCCACTCAGCTCAGGACACCTATATGCAGGGAACGTCAACCGCTTTTAAGGAACTCTTAACGAAAATGCTTTGGCACCTGTGCAGGTCTTATTAGACATCGGGGAAATTCCAGGGGACTCGTTACGGGGAGGGGGCTTGACGGTGCCTTTGTGTAGTGGTGTGTAACGAGTTTTGTTGATATTAGACATGAGCCGCCCTCAGCAGCACCGCAGTTGAACGGAAGAAGTTGAGACGCCCCCCGATGCATGTGGCTCGCAGTCACATCTTTAGGCGATTTGGGCACAACGTTCCAAGAACTTTGGAAATGAAGCTGACTGGCATAAAGTCCATTGAGCCATGCTATGACTCCAGCACGAAGGCGAACCCACATGAAAAGATACAGGCACCTGTTACATACTTACTTGTCTCACAGAAGAAAACCGTCCGGCTAGGCAAAATTGTATATCAAAATGTATATCTCAATTTCAAGGAGGTCGTGCTGGATGTTGCCCGTGATAAACTATTCTGGGAGGAGGGTTGTGCAACATAGAACAGGTTGGTGTCCTCGCCTTCCCTTCGTGACACTGCCGCTGAATATGCCATCAGGTGAGCGGCGGGGACACAAATTGCTTTCAGGAGCATTTGGCTTGCTTGTCTTCACAGCATTGTTGTAGCAATGTCAGTCAGCGGTTGATCACTGTATCCACATTTACCTGCGTGTTAGCTAGTGAAGCCCAAACGGTTGTTGAGAAACTCTGCGTTGCGTTAGTTGGTGCAATGAGGTGGGCTACGTGTCTACGTGCGGCTATCGTTTGGCAGCGCATGCAGCAACAAGTCACGTAATGCAGTAAGGGCACATCATCCCCATCCATGTCTTGCTCCTGTTCTTCTGCTTATGGATTGTGAAAACAGCAGCGCGCAGAAGCTATTTTGCGGGGAACTACTACTCTAATTGCTTTACCTGTTTTAGGGTCGACGGCCGTTCCAGGCATGAACTGATCACACGTAAAATCCCCGTATCGTTCCCGTGATGAATGTTGGTATGCTTTAAGCTCGCATTTTTTCAGTTTTTGTAGTCCTCTCTGTAGAAGTGTAGCTGCAGACCATGCGTCAGGAAGTCGGTTGCAGCAATATGCAATATAGGTGGTCGATCGGCTTTGTAAATAGCATTAGCAGCTTCTGATGAATGCGAACTTCGTTGATCCCAAAGTTGACTAGCAGCGTATCTCCAGGTGCGGCAGGTAGCTTCTTTTCCCCCGCTTGCTCTCAATATTGCATGAGGTGGCGGTTGGCTGCACTAGCTTGGGAGTTTGTTCCCTTGATGGCGCAGCTCTACGTCTAGTCTTTCCGGCACATTAGGTATTCCCATGATCTTTTCTTCTCCATTTACTCAACCATGCTGGTTGCAGAACAAGTAGGTGAGGCTCTGGGCTTCGTGAATGTCGGATACTTCCGTTGCGATCTTCCCTTGTTCTCCAACTTTGCTGAAGGTGGCAGGTATTCGGACCCCCCGTATGCGTAGGATTCACATCTGGATTACTTTCCTAGACGCTTCCTTCCTCGTAGGCTAGTGCTCAGAAAATGTGAAGGCGGCTGGTTTTCCCTCTCAGCGCTGTTTCCCAAACGATGTTGTAGGGTTCCGCCCTCTCTCCTGCTATTCCGCTCTTTGCTACTTATCCGGAAATCTGGGCTCAATCCTCTGACTCACTGTAACTAGTCCTTGTATAGCAATTGCTTTACGCTGCCTCTGCACTGCAGAGGCTTCCATCACAGTGCGCAACAGGGACTTGTCTTCCTTTCTGTACGTTCTTCAAATGGGGCGTTGATTTGAACCTAAGCTGGTATAAACCTGGATACTCGTAGGTCGAGAGGCAAAACGTCCATCGGATCGTTTCAGGTTGCACGTTGGCGCATCCTCATTGAAATGCTCCCCCCTTAGAACTTTCATTGTCTTGGGTGGGCCTTCCGAACGACGTAACTAAATCGCGTAGTAAGGCAATGCTCCCGCGGCTCGAATAAACCACACAGTTCTACCGAAGTGCTGAGCAATTTAGAAGCAGTCGAAAACCTGCTGACTGGGAGTCCACGTTAGTGTCCCTAGCACAACCACAGGGCCTCGGGGAAGAAAAGGTGTGGGGGAACCCTGCCAACGGATTGTTGAAGGGAGTTCTTGTGCAAATTTCCTTAACACTTGCGGATACAAGCAAACACCCTTCAGCCTCGGTGTCTGTCGCACATGAGCACACCATAATCAGCATGCTTGGAGCACACGAATGCACATGCTAACGAAGCTCGAGTCACTCTGGGACTCTAGTTATCTAGCTCATGTAATGCAAGACGCGGCGGTGCTGCAAAATGCAGTTTTCCCACAATGCCTGTCGTCTTCGCGTTGGGGCGCAACTTCTGATTTAGATGTGTGCCTACAGGCAACGCGTTGCATGAAGCCTTCGGCCAATCTCCCGTGAATACCCAGATCTTCGGAAGCGTTGCCTTCGCTGCACAAGTGATCGCTGTTCTGCAGTTTACAGTATTCTGGTCCTGTCAAGTCTGTGAAGCTACTACCACATACTTCAAATGAACTGGGTGTACTTCGGCTGCTCTTGTTTACTGGCGGCGTAGACCAATTATTCGGCGTGAAGTGAAGCTACACATCAGAAACTCAAAAGTGCAATATCACCGATGCGCTCTTGATACTGTATCTCTCTATAGATGCTGCGTTTGCGTACGCAAGGGCAGCAACACCGAAGCAACTATATGCAAACACGCGAGAGCAACAGCAATAATGCTTGGACAGAATGTAAATGTAAGATGTTACAGCCACCCAGCCATTCATGCACACTGAAAAGCGTCAATATGAGATAGCATTTCATATTTCGAAGCGTTGTCTACGTAGCTTCCAGCGGTCCAAAGCCTTCAGCTGCAAGGTTTAACCAGGACCCGCTAAATGAGCGGTTGCTACTGCGCCATATTCATTTCCAGCAGCAATGCTCTAGAAAGAGAAAAGCCAACTCCTCGTGCTCATAAGTCTACAACCTAGTCGGCATTGCGATTTCAACTGCTCTTTTTGGCAGGAAGCAGATCTGAGCCTACCTCCACCCAAGCACGGATGCGAACAACGCACAGCAAATGCAAGCGCCAAACAATGACGACAGGCGTATATATATACTTGTGTGTGTATGTGTGTACGTATGTACACACATACACTCGCTGCGTCAGCAATCTCAGGCGTTTTTCTGACCCTCAAAGAAAACTGACAAAATGCCCCCGCCCATTCTGCGGCAATATTTGGCGGGCATAAAATTGACACAAATAAGCACTGCAGCACCCTAACGGTGCTATGGTTGCTGCAGGCGATGCTCAAAAATCTTCGTCTGTAAGCAGCACTCTCTCCCCCAAGTCTTTGATGACCTGATGCTCTGGGGGCTCGGGATCATCATTGACGAGGGAGCGCCTTAAAGACTCGGCTCGGGCAGCCAGCTCGGCTGCCGCTGCAATCTGCGCAAGCTTTGCCCGCTCTTGCGGCGTCTCCCCAGGTGGGGCTGCTGATGATGAACCGGTAGTAAGGGGCTCTCGTACAATGCTGCAGACGTCGCTTTCGCTGCTGCCTGAATGGCTACCAACTTCACTGCTACGGCTGCTCCTGCGGCCCTGCATTAGCATCAACAACAACAAAAACAATGGCAGCAGAATTGCAGTTTCCTAGGGCTGCTGAGGAAAGACAGGAGGGACCCACGACCGCAGAAGCAGCAACAATAGCAGCAACCGCAGCAATAGCTGCCTTCTCACATGGCTGTTTGTCTCAGGATCCCTGCAGAGATTCCCGTGCAACAACTGCTGGTGCAGGTTGGGGGATTCAAGAGGCGTGAGATTAGCAAAACAATCCTGAGGCCGGCCGACTCCCACACCAGTTGCTGCTGCTACTCTGCAGCAAAGAGCAGATGTATGCATGTCATGTATGCATGTCAACATGAATGGATATGCAAAGAACCGCGAGGATTTCAATATATGTTACCTATGCACAGGCGTTTAAAATCAGCGGCAGTATGCACACAAATACGAGGGTGAAGCTACGGCTGCACCGGCGCGGAGACAAAACGTAAGCGACAGGCAAGACGAGGACAGACAAGGGGTGAGACAGACGGACAGACTGCAGGACTAAAAGAAAAAAAGCGAGAAAGAGAAAGCGATTGACAGAAGACTGCAAGAGACAGAAAAAATTTCCTTGACTCTGCCGCAACGCTAGCGAAGTCAAGACAGGGAACCAGGAGGCAAGGCTATGGGAGCTGACCCAGAGAAGAGAACGAGGGAGACACGGCACCTACGAGCTATTTCTTACCTGTCTGCCTCTTCGCACCTAACGGCTACTCCTTCCAGTCTTATTCGCTTGATCCTCTCTTCAATCTCCTGCTCGAGCTGCCTAATGCAGAAGAACCGGGCCTCGAGCAGCAGCTGCTGGAGGAGCCAGGGTTGGTTGCTGCAGCAAAGACATCCATTCCTAAGGAAATCAAGGACGTATGAAAAGGTGTCGCCGTTTCTGTCAATAAAGATTTCTCTTGTTTCACCCTGTCTCCAAGGAGGAGACAGGCACCGCGACAGGTAGTGAGGGCCGAAGTTTCTGAGGGTTGAATACGTCGTGGCAAACACGCGACCCCCAACGTTCAGCAGAACTTTGCTGCTCAAAGCTTCAGCAGGCAGTGTAGTCTGAGCACAGCAACACCGCCTAGCGATGTTGCTGCTGCTGCTGCTGCTGCTGCAGTCACAGCAACAACAGCAGCAACAACGGGATCGATGACGACTGCCGTTCACACTTGTTGTCGAGGTCTTCTTGCTTTTGCGGATGGAACTGTGTGAGCTGCTCTGTTGAAGCTCCTCATAAAAATACTGTTGCTGCTTTTGCTGCTCCTGTTGGTCTTGGCAAACCTGCTCCGTCGTCGGCTCGTGCGGTTGTCCCAAAAGCGGCTGGGCGAGCTGCTGTTGCAACAGCTCCTGTCGATCCAGCTGCTGTTGTGGAGAGAGATCGGACGGCATAGTCGAGGCTTGAAGCTGCTACTACAGTTGCTGCCTCAGCACCTGCTGCTGCTCTTGCCGCACAACAATAAAAATTGGATACACAACGAGCTCGGAGGTTATCACGATACGTGGGACGGCTCGCCAGGAAAACTCCACCCAGCAAAAGCACCAGAGAGCCAAATGAGCCTCAAATGAGCGCTTGTCACTCCCTATTACCGCCGAATTGGCCAAGCACTATTAGAAGCTGCCAATATCTTGCAGCAGCACTGGCGGCGCAACCGCTGGTACACCTTGCTGCTGTTTGTAGAAGGCAGGCAGCAGAGGTCCCTTTCGCTGTCTAAGAAGGCTTCTTGGATATGCGAATTCTGCTGCTGCTGCTACCTTTGCCGCACGTTTGATATAGGCCGGCGAGCAGCAGCAGGAACAACGGCTCGCTGCGGTTGCAGAGGTCTCGCTAGGGTCAGCAGCTTCGAATTTCTGTTACCTCTGGACACAAAACGAAGAAAATCACAAAATTTAATAATTAACGGAAGGTAGCTCTGGTGCCGCTGGCCTTGCAATACTTGTTGCTGTTGCAGTTGCATCACAGCTGTTGCCGTTAATGCTGCGGTCCCAGCCCCGAGAGGCGGCTACGGGAATGCCGTTCCTACATCTTCTAAATGCCTTGGGAACGTAATGTGATTAGTGTAAGCAGGCAACATAAACCACAGAGCACTTCATGCAGCCAGGTATGTGGAAGTCGTGGAAGCCGCACCAAAGTCCGTTTTACTTCGTCTAGTTCTCTTGAGACCGCTGCAGCAGGAGCAGTAGCAGCAAAAGCATCTGCTGTCGCCTTCCTGCAAAATGAGGCAAATATTCGTTGATCAAGGATGTTGAGGATCTGTTTTTCATGATTATATGTTAGTGTGGCGCCTTGAATGTTCGTAGAGAGCACAACTCCATTACAAGGGACGAGGGACTGCGCCCCCCTCGATGCTTAAGGGCGTGTCTTTGGCGCTGCTAATTGCAAGCGAATTCACACAAGCAAAAAACACAGTAACCTTTTAGAACGTCTTGGATATTCAGAAGGCTGATGCGTTGGCAGGCTGCTGCCTCATGGCTGCCGCAACAGGGGCCACAGCGGCACCAGTCAAGCAACGGAGCCCATGAAGCAACGGGTCGCTTCAGGGAAATGGCCTGTGCCTGCTCGTTGGAGGCTGTTGAATGCATCGCTGCCCCTAGTGTTCCAAGGATTCGCAAAAGAGAAGCAGCGTAGCAGTACTGGCCTCACGAGACCAGAAATGGGGACAGCAGCAAAGACATAAACAGCATCAAAATGATTATTCGCGCAGCCCAAGGGGTGTGTAATTTCGGGATTGCAAATTTCCAGCGCAATGCGCGTGCGAGAACGCCGCCGCCGCAGCAGCAGCAACGGCCACTGCATGAACAGCAACAGTTGGAGCGGCATTGGCAGCAGCGGCGGTCGATGGTGGGAGATCTGCAGCTGCAAAGGGTATTTGCCTCTACCATACAGCTGTTTCAGCGGCAGCATCACCCAACAGGAGCCTCTGAGAGAAGAAGCAGCGGCGGCAACAGGAGCAACAGCACCAAACACTGCACTGGCGGCCGCCGCCACGACTTAGGTTCAATATCTGGTTTAGTTGGAACCATGCCATCAGTAGTTGGCTCACGATGCCTGATACAACGGGCTTCCATGAATTCTGTTGCTGTAGTTTCTCAATGGAAGAGTAGCACCAGCGACCGGTGTGGCCGTGACGACATTAAGTGGGGTGGCCGCGTGCAGTCTTTTTCCTCGAAGCAGAGGGGCGTTTCACATATATCTGACTTTTTAATGCAGCAGAGACAGCAGGGGGGGCAGCAGCAGGAAGAGGGGAATTTGTGGTGGGAGGATGCAGAAACGGAGAGTCAACTAGATTTCCTCGGTGCTACCGCTGCTGGTGTGGAGGGTCGTTGCACTGTTGTTCGGCAGCAACAGCAATATGAGGAACACAGGCAGCAGAGGCAACAAGCGTACTCTATGGGGGCAAAGGATCTAGGGGATTCGCCTCGACGAATGCTAGTTTGTGCAGCAACTACTGATGGCCCCTTTCGTTCATCTGCTCACCACGATGCAGAAACAGCACAGCTAGTAACAACTAAAGCAGCTGCGACAGCTGCAGCGACAGAAGGCACAGGAGTGGCGGCGGGAGAAGTGTCTCTATTTCTAATGGCTTCGCCCCTCACACCAGCCGAACGCCAGGAGCTGCTGTGCCTTTGGCGTCGTCTGTCCTCTAGGGAGTCTCTTCTGAAGTCTTCCGAAGGCATTTCCGAGGGACCCTCTCTAGCGGCGCTTCTGGAGGCGCGGTGGAGCCTCCCGGCTTCCTTGTTCTCAGCGGCACACACACAAACGGCGTACCTTCGCTGGCTTTACAATTCTCTGCAGGAACACCAGGAGCAGCAGTACTGCCAGGCGCAGCAGCAGTTGCAGCAGACGCAGCAAGAAAAACAGGAACAGGATTGCGAACAGCGGCAGGCGAGGCGCCATGAAATGAGTAGCTTAGAGAGCATGCAGTCGGATGCCTTCAGGGATTTACTCCAATCGATTCGAGGCCAATTCGACCTCGAGGAAGCAGCAGCAGCCAGGAGTGTCAAGCACCAGCCTCATGAGAGGCTGCAAGTGCTGATGCAAGAGTGGACGAGGGCTGTGAGAGGCCGGCAGGAAGGGGACCTTCTTACCAGCACCTATCGGCTGGTGAGCCACACGTCCAGTCGATTCGGTACAGAACGGCGGGCATGCACTCCAAATAAGATGGAACCAACTTGGGGTCTTTTGTGTTGTGCCATTGTATTCAGCTTCTGGAAGTCTGTGCTGCAGTTGATCGCCCTCTGGGGCCCCTCTCAGGGACCCCTGGTACTGTGAAAGACCCAGCAGTCTCTCCTCTGCTCCCTCCTGCTGCAGGTCCCTTGCTTGCTCTCTACCGAATATACTTGGCAAAAAGTGGTATATCTGCTGCTGTATCGTATAAGAACATCTTGAAGCTAGTGGTGAGTGAGATACAAGTCTTTATGGTGGTGTCGTTACTGCTGCTTATTGCGGGTAAGGAGCTGAAGCGGCTCACGCGTCTTCTTTCGTGTGCTTCACTGTTCGTTTGCCATTTTAGGATCTGACGACTCCTGAGCTTTGGTTTCCCGTCGGACGCCAGCGTCAGCGCCGGGTTTGTCTTTCCTTGGGGCCGCCGAATAGCGGCAAAACCCGGGGAGCCCTTGAGGCCCTCCTGGGGGCCGCAAGTGGGTGCTACATGGGACCGCTTCGTCTGCTCGCCACTGAGGTGTACAGTGAGTTACGGAAGAAAGGTGTAAGATGCTCTCTGATTACAGGGCCTTCGAAGATCATAGACCCGGTGAGCAACCTCGCAGCCACAGTTTCGCTGTTAATGGCCCCAGCTTGTTATTTTGTGGCGTAGCTTTCCTAGGTTTGACTGCTGCAGCCCCACTGTACCATAACTGCGATGTTCCAGCAATTTTAACAGTTTGGCGATCTTTGCTACTGCCTATGTTCCAGGAGGCGACTCATGTGTGCAGCACAGTAGAGGCTGCTCCTTTAGATATGGACTTTTCCGTCGGGGTGATCGACGAAGTGCAGCTCTTGGCGGACCCACACAGAGGGCCCGCGTGGACTCGAGCGTTCTTGGGCCTCAGGGTACTGACATGCGTACCCATGCAGATGCTTGTGCTGTGTTTGCGTTTGCTTGTCCTGCTGATGTGCTTGCTAACGGTGTTGGTTCTCTGGCCGCCTGCAGTCTTAGTGGCCGGGGTGCAAAACTCTGTTTTCTTTCCACACTTCTGTTGTGCCTGTTGCATCTGCTTCGGCTGCGAGTGTTCTAACTGCGGCTGCTATTATGTTTATCGGTCCCCTTATTATTTCCTTTGGCGCTGCAGGTAAGGGAGTTGCACGTATGTGGAGAGGTGGGGGCGGAGCCTTTGGTGAAGAGTCTGGTGTTGCGATGCGGAGATACAATCTACAGGGAGGACAGAAAGGCCTCTCTGGCCAGCGTAAAGGTGAGGCTGGTTAGATAGGGAGGCCAGGGAAGGGCTTTTGCAAAGGATCTGTGGAGGCAGATGTAGCAGAGTGTGCAGGCGTCAGCAGAGAGGTTACTTACATGCAGAATCTTGTCAGCCAAGGGGGAATAGTGAGCAAAGGAGTGATATGGGGGAATACTATGGAGGATGGAGACAAGGAAAAAGTAAGGGCAGACGGGGACAGGAATATCGCTACAGAGAGAAGAGTTTGCTAGGGTGCCGTCCTTACTCTTGCGCAGGTAGAAACAGAGGCCCTGCCCGCTGATTGGATTGCAGCCCTTCAGCCGGGAGATTGTCTCCTTGCCTTCTCTGTAGTCGACTGTTGGAGACTCAAGGCCCTTCTTTCGGCTTCAGGCGTGCAGGCAGCTATGTTATACGGGCAACTGCCCCCTGAGGTCAGGGTGCAACAAATAGAAAGCTTCAATGAGGCTGTAAGAATGCACTCATGCGAGCAGCAGCAACATGTTCAGGATAAGTGGGGACAGCAGAATCTACCGACTGTGCATCCAGATGAAGCACCCTCCCAACCCGCACAAGGGGCAGCAGGTGAAACACGAGCATCAGCAACATTAAAACCAGAAGGAGCAGCAGGCTTAGCAGACGCAGCAGCAGGATCTTCCCTTCCTGCTCATTCTGTGCTAATAGCGACGGATGCCATTGGCCTTGGGGTGAATTTATCAATTCGTCGCATCATATTTACTTCCACTTGTAAATACGATGGGATCTCTCTAAGGCCACTGGATGCCTCCGAGGTGCGGCAGCTGGCCTATAGGGCCGGGCGATTTGGGGGACCGTGGGGAGCTCAAGGAGGTCTTGTGAGTGCCTTGCAACAAGACCAGCTCGATGAGCTCCGAACCATCCTTGAAGGTTCGTAAAGCCATTAGTCTGCAGACACTATGGATATTGTGATTGTTATTGAACAGGAGGCCGGTGAGGAAAGCCTTGCGGGAGGACGGTTAGTGCAGTGCTTAGTTGTGTTATGTTTAGGGTCGTCGGTGTGAGTTGCAGGCCCATCTGTTTCTGCACCTGCTCTAAAGGCGGCAGCTCTGTTGCCGGAAAGATGGGCCTTTGAATTGTTTGCTCATTTTGCAGCGGGGGAACCTCCAAAGTGCACTGCTCGCCTCATGCAAAAGTAAGCTCAGACCGAAAGGCCGTATATCAGGGCGCAGCAGCCGATGCCTAGCGCCTGCAATACCGTAGTTCCTAAACACGGAACATCCGGTCTACGGATTTTCCGGCGTGAATGCTAGCCTGTTTCCTTCCAACAGTCCGTGCTTTCTACTACAGATTCGTCTCCCTGTTGCACACAAAGGCTCCATACTTTATACCAGCTGGAGCCCTTCACAAGGCTGTCGCTGTGGCAGCCTTGCTGCGGGACGTTGCGTTGCCGCCTCCGGAGTTATATATCTTCTGTATGGCGCCTGTTTCGGTCTCACGGTGCACCCAGGGGCATCGAAACGAACGGCATCAGGAGGGAGGACACTCGAATATGCCGGAATCAGAAGATAAGGCCGAGTTGCCGTGGCAGGGTGCAATTGATGTGGACAACAGCCATAGCCCTGAAGCGGCAGGAACAGAGGGAACAGGATCAGATTCAGCAGCAGCAGTAACTGCAGCAGCAGCTAGTATCAGTCTACCCATGCAGGCAGCCCTGCGTTCTTTTGCTGTCTCCCTGGCTGCAACTCGAGTGGTGCCGTTGCCCTCTCCATTCCGTGTCGTCCGGAAAACAGACAAAGAACAACAGCAACACCAGCGGATGCAGCACTTGGGGCTGTGTTCTGCAGAAGAAGGGCCCTGGAGCTCCTATACGGCGGCTGGTGTTGGATATTTGGGGGGCACAGTTGATCCCGCATCTGATGGGGAGGAGACAGAAGCAACCCCAGCAGAGACAATAGAGGCCCTTAGGGCGTGGGAGACAATCTATCAGGTATTTGCCCGTGCTGGCATTGCAGCATCTGCTACTTGCTTGGACTTGCTAGGGGCTGTTAACAGTTCAGAAGCTGGTTTCTGCGGATGCGAGCTACAAGAACAGCACGCCGAGTACAGAGGTAGTTGCAGGGGGAATGCGTGTGTCTGCAGGTCTTAGACTTGTATTTGTGGTTGGCGGAGAAGCTCCCAACAGCGTTCGTTGATGCGCCACTGGCACTGAGTGGGAGATCCCTTGCGGCTGATGTAATCGCGAAGGCCTTGCAGAGGGAGAGGCCTCTCCAAGGTTTGGGGGCTCGTGACCAGCTCGAGCAATTCTATCGTTCACGAATGCCCAAGGATTTGAAGGAAACCAGTGGTTTTCGGCCCCAAAAAAGCCGTGAGACGCAGCACGCCTAGCACCCTGCTGCGCACACGCAGAGTTTGTTAGTGTCACTTCTCCAGGAATTTCATGTACGGGGCTCTCTGCGCGTGCGGGAGAATGCATGAAAAACTTTGACATTTTCACAGTAATCGTTTCCTGCGTCTTTGCAGAGCATGCGTGTGATTGCGGAAGTGGGCACTTTCGAATGGTTCGGTAGCGTGCTCTGCAGGGGAGCACACGTTTAAATATCACTTAGCATGAACAAAAACTGCACAGGCTGGCAGACCTATTTTCATGCGGCTGGGCGCAAGAATACAAACTACACGTCGTCGACGCCCGGATGTGACAGTGGAATAAAGTGCTTCCTTCGGCGTTTCCTGTAGCACTCCCATGGCCAGTCGTCCAATTGGAGGGACCACGTCGAGTACACGTAAGATTCTGTGTGACAACGGCGTTGTCTCATGGGCAAATCACGGCCATATGGCCTGATTAAGGGCACGAATATGTTAGTGTGTAGGATAGTACGCATGCACACGTACGCGTGTTGTACATGCGCACGTACTTCAATACAGACAATCCTATGCATGTATGCGTGCAAAGTGCATCGGCGCTTGGGAACGCAGATCCCGAGCAGACTCAGATGAACATGCGGAAGGGCTTATGTCGAGGTGGTGCATGTGCGTTGATACCTATTCATTCATCGTGCGTAGACACGCACATATAATTATGTAGACATAGCGTATATACGCGTTCACATACATTCATGCACGTGAACGCACAGACGCGCACGTGCAAATGCAGGCATATTCAAATCGTCGCCTGCCCTAATGCTCACAATTTAATGTACATCATAACACGCTTACCAGGCACAGTATCCATACCACCACCACCAATATACCTGTGGACATTCGGGTGCTGCACGCCGCTGGGCCAAAAGGTCTCGTATTGCCACATACTCGCAGAAGCCTACCGAGACTCCATCTATATTTAGGAGGTCGCTACATTCAGTATGTACAGCACACCAAGGCATATAGCCGTTTTAAGGGAAACCACCGGGGGTCATTCATGAATAAAACCCCTCAAGTGCGGTATGAGTTTCAAAAAAGCCTATCCAGAGAGCTGAACAGTACCTCCTCCTCAACTGAGCGTGCATTCCATATAGCTGCGATGTGGCCATCCGGCCTCACGAGCAACAGAAGATCTTCTGGTTGGATAGTCCGTTGTGCTTCTGTTGAGAGTACAGTCAAAGCGAATGCGCCTGCGCAAACAAACAATTCAAACACAATTCGCACAGTTGAGAGTTCAACGTCTGGAAGTAAGCCGTTTAGTGTCTCCGTGTGTGTAGGGGTGCGTCAGGGGGCTCTGCGGATGGGTGTTGGCACAAACACTCTCTATTTGGGTCATCCGCCGTTGCGGGTGGAGTTTAAGGAGTAGGGTGCTTTTACTTTTCACATCCGGTCGGCTTGTAACGCGCCTCCAGCCAAGTGGGAGGCGAGCACTGGGGGGCCCTGCTCCTAGCACAGCAAGGGCGTCCGGCTTTAGTTTCAAAGGTTCCAAGGGGCCAGGAATCCAATCAGGCGGTGGCGCAACCTCACCAACAGGTTCTGCTATCCAGGAGATGCCGAAAACGAAGTCTGATGCGGCATAACGAGGACGCGATACTCGCGCACATTCCTGTGCTGCTGCCCTCTGCTTCTGTCTCCACTTACTTAGCCCAGCAAGGATACGGCTTTCGTGAAGTTCCGAAAGCAGAAGGAGACAGTAACTGCATGACGGAACTGCAAGCGCCGGCAGATCCACCGTTGACAACGCGTAGACTGCACAAGACGCCCAAAACACAGTATATTTCCCCCATAAATAGAGCAACTCCGAAGAAGCAGCATCCTAGAGGCTAGCTAAAATCTGTCGCGCTAACGTTCCAAGACGCTTCCTTGACAAACAGTGTTCTCGTAGCGAAACGCGATTCCCGAAGGTACGTTCAGCAGCTAGGAAAAGGACACTTGAGGAGCAAGATAAACGAATGCACGCACCTGATGGGGGGCCATTTTCGCTGTGGTGAAGAACAGCCTTCACTGGAGCATGAGGCAAGCGGGCGCCAAACCATGAAGTCGGAACCAACCGCCAGGGGGACTCCGAAACCTGGCACGGATCAACAGCCATTATGCGCTCAAAACATTCCACTCCATCTTGCTTCGCAGTCAATCCATATGCGCGTCCACTCCGTTTGGAACAAGGATCATACTCACTGCGGTTGCTTGCGTGCCTGTGCTCTATCGCCTTTCCTGCTTTACCTCAGGCGCCCTAATGCCTGCTGCCTGTCTGTGTTTTCTTCACTCATGTGTTGGCATACCTTCAACGTAGGTGGCCCGCCCTTGTCTCCCCTCATAAGGGCTGATTTAGTGTAAGCGTAACCCATGTCAACACCCTGGAATCTCAAACCCAGATGAGTCTCATTGCTACTTAGCAGCACACTGATCGTCTCAAGCATTTTGCTTCTAACAGGCCCCACATGCATTTGAAAGGCCGCCTGAGGCAGAAACGTGAACACAAGCGTAATCAACACGGCCCCACATTGTCCTTGATAGCTGCGCATCAACAAAATAGCAATATGCGCATCGGATATTTTGGTGTGAAAAGGAAATTGAACAAAACTGATTAAACAGGCAGACTCAAAACTTGCCCATCTGCAACAGCACACACACCAGCAGCTGCCGCAGAATCAAGAGTAATAGGTCCTCTCACTTTCGCCCTTCCAATGCTCATGAGGCATTCGAGGGCCCCCTTGGCTATTCGTGCTGTTGCGTCTTCTGCAGTTTTTGCCACACCTCTGAGGCCTGCAGCAGCTGCTACGGTTGCTATCGCAGATGCTACAGCGCCAGAGGCTGTAACCAGGCCCCGGGCTGCTGCTGCCGCTGTATCCCAGTCCAGGCCTAGCACTTCTGGGATGCACCGCCCAGAAGAGAAATTTTTGCGAGCAACAGCGCAGGTGTACTGAGACAATCACACACAGATGTTTGTTATTCCTACTGTCTTGGCTTATTGCGCTGCCAAGCTGCTACAGAGTGGCGCACTTCCAGCCTAGCTTGCGGCATACCTCAGCCACGAGTCTGCGTTCCTCTTCATAGCTTCTCAATATCTTGCCTGCAGGATCCGCCTGTTGATGGGTTTTCTTCTGCTGTTGTTGCTTTTGCTGCTGTTGTTGTTGCCGCGGTGCAAAAGGACCTTGCCGAAGATGGTAGCTTTGGGCGATCTTCCACGAGGCATTCAGGCAATCCGCAATGCCCAAATTCATTCCCAGGCCGCCTGCTGGAGGTAGACAGTGAGCTGCATCTCCTATCAGCAGTACACGACCCCTAAGAGGCCCCCAGGGGCCGCCGTTCTCCCTCAAGAGGCTTTCCTGGGTCTCCAGGCCTGGGGAGGAGAGACGCTTTTCCCGACGATGACAATCATTTCCTGGGGCTTGTGGGAGGCGCCCTCCTGGCAAGTATTGGGATGCTACCTTTGCAACCATCTGCCAGGGTCTCACGTCCTGAATCTGAATGTCTGTGAGGCGTTTCCCTGCTAGGTTTTCGATTAGGTGGGCGGCCTGTCCTTTTTCTTCGTTGGTCCCCAACTGTAGCATCTTATCATCACGACTGAGCGGGAAAAAAGGGATGTGAGCCACAAACAAACCGGTCTTGAAGCAATGGCAAACAACGACACCTATACACCGAGGACCCAAAACGTAATACAGCATGGCACGGTTTTTAAATCGGCGTAAAGCTTCATACCCAGGGCCCTTTGCAGAACCCCATGAGGCCCTCCCTAAGCCTTCATCCGGCCGATAGGCCCCTTGCTTGTAGCAACCGACGGAGGCTTTCTTGGAGTTTATTGAATGGTTGCGCCGCAGACAATCATCTTGTTGCTCTATGGCCGCAGCCAGCTCCTTAGAATGAAATGTTACATTTAGGAAGTGCTGGAGTGGCGGGCCCCCTACAAGGGACGCGCCACTCCACTGTCGCACTCTCGAACCCGCTCCGTCGCTGCCAATCAAAATGTCACTGGTTATCTCCCAAAGAGACACACCACCATTGCTGTTTCCCACAGAAACAACGGATTTCACTGGACCACTGGGGGCGCTGCTACCTGAACTGGCGCTAGTGTCCTCCTGGCTAGCGCCCTCCCATCGTGCACTCAAAAGCAGGCGAAGGGGAGCTTGCTGCTGTTGTTGCCCTATCCCTGTTGTTTGCCGCTCGGATGTATCACAAGGGTTCTTTTTGCTTGTCTGTTGAGGCCACCCTGATCTGTCCCCCTGTACAGGCCCTTCCAAGTGTAGCTGTTCCTTGTGCTCCTGTGCAATCGCTGCACCACTAGGGCCGCCCTGGAGGTCGGCAATCCACTCCTTGGAGGCTCGTGCCTCTGCTTCTTTGTACAAGAGAGGAAGCAGCAAGTTCTGAGACAGCTGGGTCATGCGGCAGGGGCTAGCAGTCTCTTTGTAGGTTGTGCGGCCATCAGGAGACTGCATCTCTTCGAAACCTGTAGCAGCACCAAAGGCAGGCAGTAGCAACCCTTGCAGCAACTGGAGCAGTAGCAACAAATGTACTTCCGACTGCCACAACAAATAGAGCACATATGCTACTGTAGTGCTCCCAGCAACACCCTTAACGGCATTCACACTAGGTTCAGCTTCGCGTACAGAAACGCCCGAAGGGCACATACTGCAGCAGCAACGGAACACCAAACAGAGGAAGCTCACGCAACACCTCTAACCGCAGCAGTCTTTGCAGCGCAAGCAGGAAGTATATGCAGCGCATGCAGCAGCAACACCACCGACTTACCCTGGAAATGGTCGACAGCAGCTAAATAGTTGTTTCCCACATCAGTTAACTGGGTAGTGTATATGAATGACCTCCAGTCGTTCAGGCAGGGAGAAAGCGCATCGACGCGTTGGTCTAGGTGCCCTAATTGCCGCCAAACTGTAGCCCACACAAACGCCATAAGCTCTCTGCGCACCTAGGTATTACGTTCGGTGGCTAGGCGACTAGCCATCCACATAGTTACCTAGCTCACCTACCTACCGCGTCGCTATATTGGTGAAAGGAATGCCTCTTGCCAGTACTCAGCTAGGCAGGAAGCTAGGAGAGTGCTTTAAACGATGCGCAGCTAACTAAGCTGCACTGCCACTGGCGCGCAGGTGTATGCGACGCTTGGAACCTCTAGTAAGTGGTTACAGTACCGTATATCTGGACGTGTAACCGTTCGAAGCCTCTGTGTGCTAATGCTGGTGAGATAATTGGTGCGGGTGCACGAAACTTTGAAGGGGTTAACGAGACTAACGGGAAAGGACGCAAAAACGAGGTAAACAGAAGACAGGCACGCCTGAACTATCCACCAGCAACGACAGCACAAGCAAACCCAGAACCTTCTATGCAGCAGCACCTTCGTGCACTCACTTTCCATGGATCTGTTGGTTATGTAATGTGCTTTGGGCAGACAGGTAGCAGCTGCCTGCTGCTCCAATAGCAAAGTAGGGACACCTCCTTTCTGCAACAACAGCGCCATAGTCAGGCCTACAGGCCCTCCTCCAACAATTAGAACAGGAACGTGGATCTTACGAATACTGCTGCTTCCTGCTGCCGCCCTTTCTTGGTTGCTGGTGACATGAAGGCTACCATCCTTGGAGGCACAAGTGCTAAATGTCATCCACTTTTCCAAAGGGGTCCCACGCAAAAGGACAGAGCAGTAGAGAAGACCCCCAGATGACCTCAACAGGCCCCCCAACAAAATACGAGGAGACCGGGATATCATCTAGTACAGCGCACTTCCTTCCAAAGCTCTTTAGACTGGGCAACCTCCCCAAACCCTGTACATGAAAACGTCTAGTCATGTGAGGTTAGCTGCTTAACAATCGCTGTGGCCAGAAGACAGAATGGCAGAACTGATCTGGTTAGCTCTGCATGTACGAGCCGGCCTTTTGTCTCCGGCTGCAGTTATATGGTGTTCGGGGTATTCATGGCCTTGGTGTAGAGCCATACGCGGCGAAACAAATACAGCATGAAGAGATCTAAGAGTCCTTCATGGAAGACACACCCAATGAATAGCAGTTGAGAAGGTTCTGCGCAAAACCGTCAGCCCTCCAACAGTGGCAAAGCTGGAGTCTTCTTCCATGAAGACACCCACCCCTACTGGCTACATCTCAAACTCTGAGGCAAAGTTTTGTTACTGATCCTCTTTTGAAGGAGATTAATCTATTTATTGTACCCTTGAAGCTCTTCTCCATGTTCAACGAACGACCGGAAGGCTGGTCCCCAAGGGCCCCCCCACTGAGTCTGCGGAGCTGATGGTGAGCTCTAGCAAAGAATTGTGTCTCATCCTCTTTCTACTAAGGAAAAATTCACCAATTCTTCTCAATCGCAAGAAAGAAGATGTCTAGGGAGATCCTTTATCTCACTGGCAGCTCAACAGCTGGTTGAATTCCACCCAATTGCAACTAACATGGGCGCTAAGCAGCCGCAGTCAGGTACAGCCACTTAAAGAGGCCTCCATAAATGGATAACACTGACATCCCTGTGAAAGAAATTCGGAACATTCTCTCATACAAGCGATGCGTCCCAGTTGTTTGCCTAATGTTCCCTTGGAACAACGACCCTGCGGCAGCAAATGTCTTGTTCTTCCTAGAAAGCACCCGGTGCACTAGGCCCCTAGGAGCAGCAGACAACAGTAGGGATTGCAGAAGCTAAGAAGGCACTGCGACCCCTGAAATGTAGACAGCAGTTAAAGGGCATTACGAACTCGTAAGCGCAGGCTCTACATGACCACCTGAGCTACACTACCCGTCTCTGGTGAATTTACTTAACCTTCCAAAGTTCGCAATACCGTACAGATGTCCTGAAGCTTCAGCTAGACTTTAAGCTATCCCTGACGCCGGAATTGAGTGCATTGTTCGTTTACTCTCAGTACAGGCAATGATCAACGATTAAAACAGCTAGAATTGTTCATGAGGGGGTCGCCCCCTCATTTGTCGCGTGCCATACAAGGCCGTATTGGGCTACACCAGACACCACGTCCCCTGTACAGCCCGACCAAATGCCAAGGTCGCTGGAGCCGGCTTTCATTGCACGGGATTCTCTTGGGAAAATCCGTGGGTAGCATAGCCTCGGCAAAGCGTTCATAGATTAGTATGCAGACGGAATCCTCTCCAATGTAACGAGAGTGCCTGCAACAGGCCCCTACACTACACAGGGGAAGATATTTGTACAATATCAGTTCGCCCGGAGGTGACTCGCGCGCATGGGGGAACACAGGGCGGTCCTCACTGGCATCTCGTTTACCAGGTTCCCCACATCAGTATCGAGAAGCAGCATCACATGGCTGCTAGTCAAGCACCTCTGGGTAATGGAGTTGGAGGCCACTGAGTACAGATCAGAAGCCTCCCCACGTCCAACGACAGGGCAACACTGGGATAACCAACAATTTTCACGGGCCACAAAGTTTAAACCATTTCCACTTCTGCTCCAGCAGCCTTAAGAGCATCGAAGATCTTCTGTGCTTCAGCTTTCTCGATATTTTCGGTTACGTCTTTGGGGAGCGTGTCGATAAAGTTCTTTGCCTCTTTGAGACCTAAATCTGAACGTAGACTTCGCAGTGTCTTGATCACGGAAATGCGATTAGCAGTAGGCACAGCTTTAACCACGACCTTGAATGCTGTCTTCTCGGGAGCCGCAGGAGCAGCCGAGGCTCCTGAGTCCCCTGAACTCTGCGCACCAGCCGGCGCTGCTGCTGCTGTCCCTGCCGCAGCCGCCCCTAGCGCAGACGCCGCAGACACCCCAAAAACCCTCTCCAACTGCCGTACCAGCTCCGACACTTCGAGAAGAGTCAGCTGTTGCAGCTGCTCCAGCACAGCCTGCACGCGGGGACCCACTGGAGGCTGTGGGCTATCTTCCCCCGCTCCCGCGTTAGGGCCTCCTGCCGAGAGTGACGACCCTGGGCGAGAGCATGTAAAGGTGGCTAGAGAATGGCAACGACGATGAGCCGTCAAAAACGAGGGATGGTAATGTGTGGTTGTCAATACAGCCGCTCCTCCGGGTCCTGCAAAGAGCAGCTCCGTCGTGGCCCTTCCCCGTGGAGGCCCTCTGGCATGCAGTCGTCGTGGCATGAAGCACAAGCTGCTTGAGCAGACAGATGCTATTATGCTGAAAAGAGGGAGGGCAAGCAGCAGCAACAGCAAACGCCGGCATCGCTGCTGCAGCCTCAAGAGGGGTAGCAACATGGGGGCCCCTTGCCCGTGGGGGCCCCCGAGAGTGAGGGGAGGCGCCAAGGGTCTGAAGGGAAAGAGAGTGGCTGCAAAACTTGAGTTTCGAGAGATATATCCTCCAGAGGCTCTTGTTTATGGTTTGGCTCTTCGCAGGCACGTACGTTGTGCGGGATACTCCAACAAGCTATACATACGTCCCTGCTAGAGACGCCAACAGTGGGTTAGGAGAACCTAGGCGCCAGATTACTCCGGGAACAAGATTACACAGTACAAAAGCATTGGTATGTAGTAGGTGGTTCACAAGGTAAAATACTGCTGTCGTTTGCACGGCATATTGCCACATAGTACAAATGAACTAGTCCAGCCCCAAACACTGCCGCCGCATCCTGGCGAGTCCCATGCTTTATGTACCTGCTACACTTCCGTTCAGAAACACTCAGTTTCCGATTAAACATCTTGCTTTTCTTCTTTTAGGCAAAACTTTCTCTGAATCCCAAAGCAGCGGCACTACTCAGTTATGGGCAGTCGGCAGCGGGGAGAGGGGTTGGCTGACACGGTCAGTGTAGTGCACAGGCACTACAATGTGTCTCAGGTGGGACCTCTAGCGGCTTTATGATTATAAAGGGAATAAATATTAAATATTTTAGGAATTACCACATTATTAGCTAGAAAAAGGAATTAATACTACTAAATCTTCTAAGAAGTGGATACCATAGGTAGAGTCCTAGCTTAGTCGTCTGTGGTATCTATTGTGTTCCTAGAGTTGGATATTCCGATCACCGCATTTCGCTTTTGCAGAACATTGAGGAACAGCCAAGGCCCTAGCCTGTTGGGCGCATGCCCCCTTTCTGCGCCTATCCGTATCCAGATAAGATTGCAATGATCCAAGTATTTACACCTTGTTTTTGTACGAGAATGCGAATGGGATGCTCACATTCATAGAAGGAGCGGGAATTTTGTTTTCAGTGTTAAAACTTTTGCGATACTGCTTGAACGGTCATCACCAACCAGAGTGTTCCCGTGACTGTTCACCCCGTCTTGATTCGATGGTTAAGATTCACATTCAGGCAGAATTACGCATTCTAGGATTATCCTCGAATTTGTTGAAAAGGAAATAATGGTAGAGGTTCCATGCGATAATCAAATATTGAGAGAAATTCCGTAACTTGAACTCGTTAAAAAACGTCAGACAAGAACACACGCACGCGAGGAGCTTGTTTCCCCGTTTATTTTGGAATATCGCTTGTGATTGCACACGGAAGGACACTTGGGGACTTGTTGTTTCACCCATCCAAACTATAAATAGAGAAATACATTGGTTCCTAAATAATCCCGCATCCACTTTTCCCATCAACTCAGCGGCCAACATCGTAGAAGGTTCGCCGGCATCACCACGGTTGATGAAGTACACAATGGTATCAAGAGGCTAACCACTTTTCACTGTGTGTGATAAAATTTGCAAAGGGCGAAACAAGAATATCTCGGCCCGAGGAGTTTTGTTAAGCTTACGCGTTGTACCCGCTTTCAACTTAACATCACTTTTCTTGTCCACCTTCCTAGAAATGGTGAATGACGCCATCAATAGTTTAGATTCGGCCTCGAGCAGCAACCCTGCGACTACAAATTTGCAAGGTGAACTATTTTCCGAAGAGAGTTCCGGTTACTGAAGAGCGGTACACGCAGCCCCTGAGGTTAGCCACCGGTAAGTCTCCGCCGGTCGGCTAGCAATGAACCAATGGCGTCATTATGTGGGAGCATAAACTTCAGGCAGTTATCTGGCGAGACGTCTAAGAAGTTCATACTTCGAGGGGATCGACTAGATGTTCGAACAGACATTCGAAATACTTTAGCGATTCGCAGTATTGGTCCGAAAGCCGTGGAAGCGTAGACACTGACGGTTAAGTTCGAAGCAACTTCTGCCCCCTCTGTTCCTAGATATTTCCTTTAGGGCTGTGCGTGTCTAAACAACTTTGGCTTGGAAGGGAGCTGAGACTTCACTAGAGCATGCCATTTCACGCCCTTTCGTATCTTTTCGCTAGTCCCCCATTTCGATCGCGTAGACGAATCTGAGGGATTTTACAATTTCCGTAAGCATCGATTGCAGGCATTGTGCGACTAGAGGGGAGATCGCCAGACTTTGCACCAGCAGCCCTCGCTATCACCCATCCCCTACCCGCAAGCCTCAAGACAGCGTTGGTTCCTAGTTTTGCACCTAATACGACTACCTCTGAAGAACACCTGCGAAAATACTTTTGCCGTAGGGCGATCGGAAACTGAAGATGGTCAATTATTCTTTGCACCGACACTGCATATATACAACAGTGAAGGAATGCGTTGCCTGCGCAGGTTAACTTATTACAATTGTCGTGAAAGGCACTCATTTTTTGTGGCATATTACCGCATGAAGTAATCTCCGTGCGTGCGTTTTCGTCTGTATTGCGTTTCCGCCGGTGTCCATCAGAGTACAAGCAGAAACCAATAACATGTTATCCAATGGACGCCTCAGTAGTTGTTGCAGTTCTGCAGCATGTATCACTCTAGACAAAAAACAATATGATGGAAGTGGGACTAAGCATAAGCATAGCTCTTCCATCTGAAGCAGCTTCCCTACGCCTGATGCAGATGTGTTCTACAGTCCCAACTGCTAACAAAAAAGATTACATAGAGGGCATCTTCGCTGTTCCTCGCAGTAAGAGCGTGAAAAACGGTTGCTGTTAAACCGCAGCGGCTGCTGCGGACGAGCCAGCTACGGGGCTCCTATCCCTGCAAGTCCAGTTTCCGCAGTACCTGCTACTCCCGCAAGAGCCGGGAGCCGATGAGGTCGCGTGTGGACTGAGGAGAATTCTGTGCACACGGTAAGGCGACCTCAGCAGCCACTACCATCGGCTGCAGTCCAGCCCAAACGAGGTGCAGGGAGGCACCCTAAACGACTTGATGCACTGTTCAGAGCGCTCTACATGCGCTGAACAAGCGACTGCCTCTCACAAACTGAAAGAAAACATCTTCCGAATGTCGTGGGCAAAGTGGTAGAGGTTCCGCATAAACCTATCCTATAAACAACAAGCAAATCACCCACATATCCAAGATAGGAAAAGAAAACCCCAAGAAAAAGCTTCTCCGTTAGCCATTCGAAAAACACACGTGGCGTGGCGCTTATGAGCACACCAAGACCTACTTTGTTTGCCGGAGATAGGTCATCTTGAATGTTGACCATCAACTCCGTGAAACAGTTCTCCGCTCTGCACAAGCACGCAAAACTGCTGCCAGGTACGTAAGAGTCAAAAGACACAAAAAATTGTTGGCGGTCTTTTGATCACGGCACCTGCCCACTGAAGAAAAGGGTTCCTATTCTTACTGCGGTCTCTTGCTCTCAATTTGCTGCTCAATAATCCGTTGCTTTAACTTCAAGTATTCGTCTTGTTGTAGTACGATCAGGCCCAATAAGACACCCGATATTGCGAACAGGTTTGGGAGCTGGCCTAAAATGACACAAAATTGCCATCACTCTAATGATTATAAATCAACTGAATAGAATATATATGTACGCGAATATGGCTGGGTAATAGTTTACGATGCGTTGCTATGTTTCCCGTTGAATGCAAACACAAAAACAGAAACTATCAACCGGCAGCACAAGCCACAATCTGGAGGTATAAAGACTCGAGAGAAAGTACGTGTGAATACATTTACTAGAGGCCTGGGGCTCGAAGCGCTCCGTAGAGCACGCGCGACCAACTTAAGCAATTACAGATTTGCAGTCCTCGCTCCGAAGGATGATACATACCTGTCATGAGCAGCTGGAATATCAGCTGAAGCATTCGCGGTAAACTCCCTGGCTGTGCCTCAAGAAATGCACGCACGGCCTGCGATTAAAATACAACTGCAATGTGCCAATTTCACTTAAAACTACCAATCAATGCGCTTCCAATCGATGCCATCCTGTGTCACGCTTCGCGCACGGCGAACGGTGCCTGCTTTATTAATGCTATAGCAGGGGCATCAACCCTCCAAAACTGCACCATCAGCACCCTCAACTACAATGCCATTACAACTGGCCCATGGATGCGGGCGAAAGCGAGCCGGGAGATAATGGCAGACAGAAAGGAACGAAAGACAGTCAACCTTACATCTCCCTCTTTTTCCTCGGAATTCCTGTGCTTGAAGATGAACTCAACAAAATGGCCCAAGGTAGCGCAAGACTGCATAAGCACTGTTTCTTGTGCGCAGAGGCCATCCTCAACACACCGCAAGAGCTGAGCAAGGTGGGCCGGCGGAAGCTCTAGAATCTGCCAACACAGGAGTCCCAAATACATAAGTCAAGTCGGCAGCCGAACGGGTACGACAAATACCCCGAAAAAGCATGTCCAAGCCGCATGTTCCAGCAGTAAAACCTACGGAAGACCTGTATCTACAGCTGAATATAGAGTTGGATGTGAGTGGAACAAGCCACACAAAGGTCAAGAAACTTACATGTTGCATGAAGGACTCCGTGGCAACCTCAAGGAAAGAGTAGACAGGCCTTAGCGACTTCAAATAAGCCATCAAATCTGACGGACGGTGGAAAAAAAAAAACAAGACACAGATACAAAAACGTCTTCAGTCTCACCGAAGAAATCATTTGCTGCGGTTCGTGAAGCAGCCTGTCCACCAAATAATTCAGTAGCAGATCATTACGGAACTGCACTCTTACCGTCTTGGGGAATCGCTAGACACATCTGAAGGGCAAGACGAAGGGAATCCTTTAGGACTGTGTCCCCGTAGACCTCAAAGATCGCATAATGGCAATACGAGCCGCTAATGATGTTGCTCAAGATCTGCAGCGCGACTGCCATACCCTTGTACTTTTCCTTGTACGTATCGGTGACGTCCTGCTTCTGCAATATCCTGAGTATACGTAGGAAGGCAGATGCATGCATGGTAGAATTCAAAGGAGAGACGAACCAGTAGAATTCAAAGGAGAGACGAACCACTCAACAACATAAATAAAGCATAAAGCATAATAAAGCTTATGTTCCTACAGAGTGACTGGTGGTCGCACCGGTTTCCATATTTAAGCACAACACCAGATGCTTCCTTGAAAAGCCGGATGCCATTTGCGGAAGACTCTACGAAATGGATCCTGCTGCCTCCTCTGTTACTGACGAAGTCGGCGATAAACTTCAGAAGGGGAACCATAACTTCAGAATCATCCCACCAAGCATCTGCTGCCCAGCTAAATATTGTCATCTGACATACAGTGCACACCCAAAAGAACAGGCATAGGCTGTTTTGCCTTTGCTCCATCCCAACTCGAACAGAAGGCTTGGTGCTGTATGCGATGTAGGACGCGGCGGAGAGCCAAAACTTACCCGAGTGTTTCCGTTGAACTTTTTGGCCGGCGACATCAACCAATCAAAGAGGACTGTGTACGTCGAGCTATTTCCAGAGGCGAAACTCAGTCCCCTACACCAAGTCACCGCAGGTTTAGAGCTCACGTGGATAGGCAACACCAACCTCATCGAGTGCCGTCAATACTGTTGTGCAGAGCAACGGTCACAGGAGAGGTTTTCCACTAACCTACCTGAGATCCCGCACGAGGCCAATCAGAGGATCCCGACAAACTGGAATGCGAATCGAACTGGGATTTCTCCCTTCATCTGTTTGCTGCCACAACGAAAAGAAAATGGCATCCATGGGCTGCACGAATTGTTCAAAAGTGACGGCAGCTTTCCGTTGTTGATAAAATAACAATGTCCCGAGCGTCAGGTAGTAAGTCGTCCGCAGTCTCGAATACCTAAAATAAAGCGCCAGCAGCGCAAACCAGGAGGCCAAAACTTACTGTTGAGCACGACAATTCCACTACAAGCACTAAAGCGACTGCAACGTCTATCCCTGGGGCAACTACTGATAGGGATGGAGCAACAAAATGCGTGGCCAGATGCTGTTGACCGAATTACAAACATTAGAATGCAGAAGTACGCGGTGGCACGAGCCCTACTTGGAATACAGGACACAGAAAAACTACAACGCACCTGCTCATCGAGAGGAACTTAAACTCTGCGCTGCAGTGGTTAGTCAGGAAATAGGCGCCAGTTGGCGTTTCCAGTAGCAGCCGGCCCGTGACAATGAGCTCTGGGGCTCGGGAGATCCAGTGAACAATATGTACCCCGGCCACAAACTCAAAAAGGAGGTCCATGGACTTCTTGATGCACTCTGGCATGTCAACGCGGTGCTGGAGATTGAAGCCAATCTTGCTCACTAAGGTCGCTACAACCGCCTTGTCATCAGCCGCTCCTAGTGCTACAAAAGAACAACACACTAGATGGTTCTGACTCCTTTCACTCCAACACAAACACTGGATCTCCAGGGCAATCAATTTAGTCAAGTATCCACAGTAATTCTACAATCGACGGACTGCAGCAAGAGTGGGTGACCGGGTGTGCCCGCAGCCTTCTAGAAATATCGAGTGCCATCATGTGCATGAATAACTAGCAATAAAAGTTGTACAATCCCCTATTTTATATAGCAAATTGGTGCAAATCCTTACCTGTTGCGAAGGCACTCGTGACATCCAGTTTGCGGGCGAACTGGCCAATGAAAAGCTTCCTGAACTGATCCAGGAAGTAAAGAAAGGCCAGCTCGAGGGTTTCCGGGGTCTCCTCACATTTCGTCTCTTCAATCAAGGTCAGCACGAGCTTTGACAGACCCGCGTTTACCATTTGCACTGTCTCTGACGACGCATCTGTTGGCAATGGGAAAAACATACAACGCACCATACGCAGTGGAACTTAACTGCGACAAGTGGCGACACGCATATATACGGATTCATGGTCCGACCACAGCATTCGACATACCGTCTACGTATACATCGGGGAGCCTGCCTGTCCAGTTGCTGCCAACAAGAGCCCCGATAAGATACACAAGCCAAGTGATCTTCTCCTCAAAAACTTTCCGCCCGATTTCACCGCTTTTCGCCTTCGCTTTCGTCTCTTCAAACAAATCATGAACCATTCGTGCTGTCTTCGTGTAGCGGCACCGTGCAAGCTGAGAAAGAACTTCCAGCTGTTCCTGGCGCAGCACATCGTTCGTTAAGGGGCTTTCCCAGTCACAGTTGTCTGCAGGTCAGGCAATGCGCAGCGAGTACAAAGAGGGCGAATGGTAAGAGTTCGTAACGGTAAAAAGCTAGCGTCTGTTTGACGCTCCAACCAATCAAACGGCAACAAGGTTAGGGAACCATAAGTATGGCCTGCCAGATGTGTACAAACAGGGAACGGGAGTGAGCCAGGCAAGAACCACTGAGCAATAAAATCGAGTGGCTCACCTGCATCGTCGGCTATGGCCTCTGCTACACACATGCGGCTCATAATAAATGCTGCAGTTATTCTCTCAATATAAAGCTCCAAGTCATTGGGAACTTTCTGCTTATAGAAAAGCAACGGCGAGATCACGTGAGCCCATACTCCCAGAAGGTAATGTTTACTATTCGGCAACCGTTCCCACGATCTTAAGCTCTCCATTGTGAAATCGAACAGATATTGAGGGAATTCTCTGAAAGGCTCTGAGGCACAGAGTTCGCTGAGATGGTGGGAAGTGTTAATTTTGCCAATCAGGCGGCAGAACTCGTGGTAGCACAAGTCGTCCGTTAGGCCCGTCCTTGTCTTGATTATCTTGAATGCGCCGAGGATCACAGCACTCATATACTTGTTCCTCGCCGCAGTGGTTTCAAAGAAAGACCGGCGAAAAGCGGAGATGAGGACGAGGCAAGACAAACACAAGCGCGCACATTCGACGCGAGGCCGGTGAGGGTTCTTCTGCCAGCAAGCATTGTATAGGCTAAAAAACATTTTGGGAAAACGTTCCTCTCTGAACTCGCTCCAGCCTTGCGGGATCATAACTGTGCTCTGCTCATCTGTGGTATCGTCAGCTATGGTTCCCATGAAATCGAACGACAGACAGTTGTTCGCCAGCTGCAGCACTTGCTTGAGCAGGCGCGTCTCCTCTTCATCATTCGGAACACGAATAGCCCCGGCATCGAACTGCTGGAGAGTCTTCACTGCCACCTTCAAGATAGACGAAAGTGCAATGTCGCGGAAGGAGAAGGCAACGCGACGAAGACGAGACATGTGATACCCTATCTTCGGTTGCATTTCCTGAGTTAACTCGGTATATATGTATAGCCCAACAACCCAATGGGCAGTCGATGCGCTTAAGAACAAACCAACTTGATCCAGGATCTTCTGCAGTCACAAGAGTACACAGACCAGCAACCAACACAATGAACGGCAGCATGCGCAGACTTAGTACAGATGCCAAATGCCCCAATCAACAACGTCTACTCAATATAACAACTCTGTGCAAGCCTTGTCGATGTGTAGAACTGCTGAGGTAAGCTGCAGAAACTCGCCTTGTCCACATCTTCAAACCAGGAGAGCTTCACTATGCGACAGAGCAGCCGAATGAGATGGCCAAGTATTTCCTGGGCGTTGTGCAGCAGATCCGCACTGCGCTGGTAAAGATAATTCAGCAGAAAATTGCGGGTCTCTTCCTTCTGCTTGTCAGATATCTGGCCCCAGTACCGAGTGAAGAGATTCATTAACCCCGAGCTCGCAAAGATCAACGCCTGAAGATTAGACGAATGAGCCAGAACTGCCTGTAGCCTGGGCATGTTTTCAGGGTTATTTACAAGAGGTAGAAGCACCTTATGAGCCTCATTTTGTTCTTCCTTTCCTCCGCCACCGTAGAAAGCCTGGCACAACAGCTCCAGCTGCTGCACCTCTGCCAAATCAGCCATTGTATCACTACCTATCAGCGCGAAGGATGAGCAACACGAAATTGGCCTACTTATGCGACCTTCCCATCGCAATTCAAACTCCTAAATGCTAAGGCGAGGCACCAACACCGCCCTAGGCACACGGGGGCTTCTCTCAGACACAGGATGTCTAGTGCATTTCGCGGGTGCTGAGGAAAACAGGAAGGCCTTTCGGATGTTCTAGGCCACTGCTGCCGCAGCTGCCCCTACTGTTGATGTCACTGCTGATTCCGCAGATGGTCGTGAGGCTAGCCGGTTCTTGGACAAGGCTGTGGAACGCGCAGCGCGCTGTGAGGCATGAAGCGACTCCACGGCAAGATGCGTGTTATTCAGCTCCCTACCCTTCAAGGAGGCTAGTTGTTTTTGTCAGAAAGCGAAGGAACAGGAGCAGTTTGTAGGATTAGGAAGGATTGGAAGGCAGAGCAGAGGGAAGGTTTGGATGTGGATGCAGATGCGATCTGGGGACGCCTGGCAGCGAAGCGCGAAATTTTATTTTCAGTGGGCAAACCCATAGATGAGGTTATCGAAAGAACAAATGCTTAGGGAAGCCACCAAAGAAAACAGGAGCATCAACCAGCACTAGTGTGGCGCTAGTTTGCACAGCAGGGGTTTCACGCGAACGAGTTCAAGTTCGGCTTGAGGGACCATCACTCCACCACCGCCCCAGCCAAGCGGCCATAAAATCAGAATATGTTTTGCGACAAAGAAAAAGCCGTCCTCGCACAAATCATCCGGCTCTCCGCAGGGCTCAGCAAGACACGCTGCATGCATTGCGCAAGCTACACAAACAGGAAATCCAGCCTCCGCCCCCCGGCGGAGGCTGTGTACGTATTCCCATAGTTATCAAGAGCTCATTTAGTGCAGTCGTTAAGAAGTATATGGCTTAGTACAAGATTATCTACAGTCCTGACATTCATTTGTTGTTGCCCACTACAGGTCCTTCTCGGCAGAAGGACGGGTGCCAAGCGGTACAGACCAAGTGTTGCGCTGTTCGCTCGACAGCGTAAATAACTAAAGGGGAACCTTGGTATCTCCAACACAGGCTAGCAGTATGGGGTTGCAGCATCAATGGAATATATCTGCAGCACTAACAAATGTCACTCGCCACCTTTTGCCCCTGTATTCTTTTCCTTTTCTCTACTCTGGTGGGTGGCTCACCAGAAGCTCTACATGTGAACATGGCATTTGTTGAATGGTCACCGACACAATCGGACATTTATTTTTTAAAGTGAGGTGGGAGAAAGAAGTGAATAGTGTCTCTCAGGTTGGCATATTCATTCTGCGTACGTATACATTCTCCGCAGGGTGCGGAAGTCAAAACTAACGTCAGCCTGTCCTGTATCGGGGTGTAGCATTGCGCATAAGGGAATGTTACGTTTTGCTGTATTTGTGCTTGCCGGTTCGTTACTGAGGGCCAGGAAAATATTTGGGAAACGTCTGCAGTGGTGGAGAATGCATCAAAACAGGGCCTGCGTCCACACGCATGTGGGGCTGCTTACATTTCTACGTGTGTAGAGGTTGGAAGACCCTAACCGCTTTAGTGTCTGACAGCCGTCCAGATTGACAGTGAATGCAGCAAAGGCAGCCAAGGAGTGCTTCGGTACGGGGCTTTCTTCTCATCAAGCTATGAAGAAAGTTGTGTGGCAGCTTATTAACCAGTTCCGTTACCAGCAAGAGGGTCTTCTGCATTCTGCCCAGGATGCCTAAAAACTGTAAGAGATTTCGTTGGCTTCCTTGGGAGCTCCTAATTTACGGCAATGAGCTCGGTCGCACCAACTGAGGGTCTTCTAATATCAATCGCCCTTGCTGCACGTGGTAACTACGCCGGAGCTGAGAAAACGCAAATAAGGAAAGTTTTAATATAGCCCTACATAACGAGCTATAGCTCCTGTTGAATAACGTTTCAAAGGAGGACTATGAGCTTGCATAACAGTGGTTGATAGCCAGGTGTTCGCGCTAGAGACCCAATCTATAACCCTTTGGGTTATAGCGTCTGGGTCGCTGATACTAGTGAGATAAAAACATCTCTTTCACATCCCTAACTGACAGAGCTAAGAGTGGTTTGAGAGTGCCCCATTTGTGGGGGGTTTGTGTATTTGGATTGTGTGACTCAGCCGTGCCCAAACACATATATTGTAACGCACATAGGCCGGCGAATTTGTCTCGGAGGACACAGCTAGTGGAGTAATTGCTTCGTGCACTATACGCAAAGGTATGCGATATGAGATTGCAGATGCGTGTGGAATATAAGAAGCTAAGAAAGCGTGAATTCCAGCAGTGGTGCAAGGTGATCTGGTTCAGTAATCAGGAAAAAAACTTGTTGACACGAAGCCTGCGGCGCAGTTATGGGGGCGAGAAACGTGACAAGCGCAGCCGCAGACACATCTCCAATGAACTATGCGCTGCTGCAAATTCGTAGTTGCCACGGTAAAGAAAGCCTCGTGCTGCCAGCTCTGCTCGACACAGACTCAGTAACGGATCTGATTCGTGATGCCGACTGCAGGAGGTGCAGCATCCAGTCCGTTTGATGGCCGAATCGCTGGGTCTACGCTTACCGGACGGAAGACAAGACGCGTGCATCGGTGTAATGTTATGGAAATAGAATGGGGGATCAGGTCAGGTGTGCATCATTTTATTATGCAGCGGGATTTTGACGTTGGGCCCCATCTCCATGAAGTAGCCCTCCATATTTTATAGATTTCAAAGTGGATAACGCGCATTCGTCCGCCTGTCGACACTCTCAATATATGTGTGCCTGGAGTCAAAGTGTGGCATATTCATACCGATAATGACATGCCTGTTTGAAGCTCGCAGACTAACTCTTAGTCGGCCATAGTAGGCAAGCGGCTTGAATGTACATCTTTAATTGGAAGTATTGTGACAGCACTGCAGCTTACAACGGGCCTCGGCAAATATCGAACACTCTGCCTATACAGTTTACTGTAGCACAAGAATTGTGAAAGGCTCATACCTACACCGAACGCATCCTGAGAGATTTCACCAGAAGTATTAATATTGCGCTTTGGTTTGATATAGAAACGGTGTAGATCGCCCCACACCATATTGCAGCATTGCATACTGGCAATGTTCAGGCTGTATGTGAAGTCCGAGAAAACTTAATACTTCAGTTTATCACTACATGATTGTAGAAACTTAGTTCTGCCTCATGTCATTCCAGATATGTCCAAGCAATGTATCATGAAACTGCTCTATACTCACGCTTTATGCTATTCTCTCGCATAGTTCCTGTGATGTTGCCAACTCCGTTTGGAGCTGGTATAAGAACATTTACACTGTCACAATACACGATGGGTGCGCAAGGACGTCTTCTGAACCATTTCTTGCCGGTTCCAACCGTACATTAAAGAAGGCGAGGCTGTAAAAGGGAGCCATGCACACAAGCTCATAGAGCTCCGAAACGGTGCCCTGCACCCCATCTCAAGCCGCTTCCCCTTCTGCCATGGCTTGTACTGGCAAGCTCATTATACTAGGAGGCTAAAGGCTATAAGGGGATGTGAGTTGCATTTAAGCAACTTTCATCGTACGTATGTGATTCCGTTACAGGTCATAATACTCCTCGGGGAAGCTACATGCCCCGGGTCAAAACTAGACGAAATTCAGGATCAAAATTAAACATGCAGATGTTTGTCTACGACTTCATAGTGCTCTCAAGGAACAAGCAGATTTGAACACCCAGTGGTAAAGCCAGTCACCATTATCGTATGTTTGGCAACTACATAAATAGCCTGAACCGGAGTCTGCTGGATCAACGGGTGCACGGGACAAAGGGGGGAAAGTGAGTCTCGTGTTGAAGTTGCGCGTCGGGAATTTCATCATCACATGGCACATTTATTGCATTGGCCCGAAATGGCATAACTGACAAGCCCCAGAGCCAAAGCCCCAGAGCTCAAGCCCCAAAGCCCCAAAAACGTATATATTGTGCATGTACTGGGCGACTCCATCGTGATTGATTAAGGTTTGCATGTAATCTAATTTTGAAAAGCCTCTGGAATGCCGAACCTGCGGCTAGACACTAAGAGGAGAATGTAGAGACCGCTCAAAGCTGCGGAAAGGCGCCTGTTGGCCGCCAAGCAGTTACGCTGACCGATCCAACTAAAAATACAGTTTGAATAAGCGAAGGACAGCTGAGCAGAAACCGGTAAAAGGCACCAAAACGATACGGTGGACGAAGTATGTGCCTGAATGAAGGTTTCTTGCTGATTGCATGATGTGCCGTTCATCTGCAATTGGCATCCAGAACATTCTTCCGATAAGTTCATAACTCGCTATTCCTTGACCTGTTCATTTTCTATTTGGTTCTGGGTAGGCTCTGCGAGTCCCTACCACTTGTCAAAAGTGACACCGGATGCAGGACTCTTGGGAATATGGAAGGACCTGAGGTGTGCCCGTCGGAGGCAATAAAAGATAGGTGCGCGTTTCCCCGTCTTTTGAGACATAATATGCGGCTTTCTCTAGCGTTGCGGGACCTTTTTGTGGTACTGATTCATTACTCCCGTCATTGCAAGAAAGTTGATATTTTCCGTTAACGTGCAAGCGACCTCTGGCCAGAGAGTACTTTATGTAGTGCCCATAGAAAAAACTGTGTGTACGGCTAAATGAAGCAGCTGCAATACAGAAAACAAGAGTTCTGATACGAATTTTTGCCCATGTATTGCTCAATTTTTCACTGAAGCTGCACATGCAACAACTGTGAATAAAGCTATGACCAGCTTACATGCACGTGCGGGCACTTGCACGTGCATGTAAGCTGGTCATAGCTTTATTCACAGTTGTTGCAATTCAATCGAATTGCAGTGGATACTCAGCAAATGAAACCGATAATACGGCGGCTCTCCAAGACAACTGCGGATGGTCAAACTCTCCCAGCCAGGCAGATATACCTGTGGATGGCCCATTTACACCAGAGGAAGAGGCCACACCACGAGTACGTATAGGCACAGCTATATACAACACACATATTCGTTGGGGATCACAGCCTTCACGCCACTCCTCTGATGAGAGGTGAACTCAGATTAGTGTTGTCAGTTGCTATCCAGCTTGTTAAAGTGACTAGCGTCAATTCTCAAAGCTGCATAGTGAAAGTGGGGAATAGGAACACTCATTTGAACTATACAGGATGAGGCAACGAACCAGGAACGGACACAACCCTTGACTACTCCAACATTTAAAAATGCTTTTGCAACAGCTTTCGAGCCGAAGTCGGCCCCTCCGTTGAGACTCTATGATTTACGAACCCCGCGAACATCAGCAGCTGTAAGGGGCCGCTGGACGCCAGAGTATGCAATTATCAAGGCAGAGCTAGCGCGGCAGAAAGCATGCCGAAACCAGGTTTGTTATAACAACACTTCTGCTTCTTAGGTAACTTAAGGCATGCTTTGTGTATACAGTTGTGTACTGAAACTCACCTTTTGGTGCTTAGCAGAAACACTTGAAGGGACATGCCACACACAATCAACGGCAACAAGGCCTGCAGAAATCCGGCTTATATGCCTTTGTACAGGCGCTTCGTGGGCCATTGGAACACCGGTGTTCCCGGAAAAAGAACAATTCAAAAAGAGAATGTCGACTTTCAGCTATGGCTAGAGCTGCATGCCGGGCATTCAGTGAGGCTGCGTGCTTCCTTCCCGACGTCTCAAGGAATCCGAACAAGACCCCGAGGTGTCAAATATGGGGTCCAGCTGTTATTACGCGCACACGGGAAGCTGCCGCCGAAGCAGCAGCTGCTTTTGAGGCTTGGTGAGGCTTGCAAGAATCACGCAGTTCCGGATGTTTCAGCTGGGGTTCGCATCACAACTCCTTGTCTTAGTGCAACCGAACGGGGATAATACACTTTTAATTATTGAATGTAGTAACAACAAGGGAATAGCACCGCTCTGCATGTAGATGCCTTATCTTATGGATCCTGCTGGATTGTAATACTCAGGCCACGGAAGCCTTTGAAGTCTCTTTCCAGATCCAGCCTAGTGGGACTGTCGTCGGTATCACTTGAAAGAAGCCAACCTCTTAAAACTAATAAGAAAATTTCAATCAAAACCAAAACTGAGGGCACTGAAACGCTGCCGCTTTACAAAACTCAGCCGGTATCGCGTTTGCCGCTTATAAATGTTGACAACAGAATAACAAATGACGATAGCTCCCGTAGAGCAGCATCGAGCGAACAGGAGCCTTGCGATCAAGCTGGACAGCTTCAGACTGTCTTTCTTACCGCTCCACCAGCCGATCGCTCAGAGGCAGTGTTGCCTATTGGTAACAATAACATTGTCCAGGAAGATGATGGTAACACAACTCGCTAGGCTAGTGTAGAGAACAACCCACAAAGTTGCGAAAGGTTTCACCCGAGAGGCTCACCTTCCTTCCAATATCAAAAGCCTGTTGAGGATGCCGTTGCTCCTACAGATGCAAAACAGCAGGGCAAAAACATGCTTAACATTGACGCAAGCGAGAATGGGCTGTGGAAAATAAGTGTTAGAACCCTGTGCTCTCGCAAACCACTACTGGCTGCACGCCAAAAGCCTATGAGTGAGTCCCATTTAGCCAACCGTAAACTCATTGCTGTGGAGAACCTGCGTCGCATCTGTTCTTCTAGACAGAAGCAACCACGCCAATAGCCAAATCGAAACATGCAGAATGCTCTAAAGAAACCAGAAGAGGGTCTTCTTCGTGCCACTAAAAGTAGATAAAACGCTAAAGAGAGCTGTGGCGTCGCAAACCAAAAAGTCGTTCACATTGAAAACAACCAATGCAACTCCAACTCAAAGTGTCATGAATGCTGCCGATTCATTGGTGCTGGTGGTTGTGAAGGAGCTGGCAGGGGCTCAGGTGCTGTTTTGGTGGGCGGTAGAGCATGCCGCACACCAAGAGAAAAAGGCCAGTGAGCAAACAGATATTAGGTCTCAGTGTAGCGCAGCGGATATTTTGGCAGCGCTACTGGTTAATGTTAAAATGTAGAAACCAGCGATGTGGCACAGAACGGAAGTGTGGGACACGAAGCTAACTTTCGTAGGGAGAAATGGGGGAGAAGACAGTGGCAGGCGTGCTGCAGCGTTTGTACTTCGTTGACACAGGTCTACTGTTTGACGCTATGGCCTTAGTAGGGATTACTGAGGCCACTCTCTATTGGTCTGCTGGTAACGCCTGCTTTTGCAGCACTTCCCCACACCCCGCGGGGATGAAGGGTAATGCGGACGGTAACGACCTGATCTACAACAATTCTGCAGCGGCATCTTTGGTCTTCCAGGAACACAATTCGAAGGTTTCGAAACCTAAGTCACATGCGAAGCCGTTTATAGGGCCTCTAGTTCCCAGGCAAGCTCCAGATAATGTTTGATAGGCACCTGAAATTGAGTCTGCAGGTCAGAGGAAATGCAACGTTCTTTTTTCTCTCTCCGTTAGGCTCAAGCTGGACGCTCTACGTAGCAAGGGTTCATCGCCCTGCGTGAGCAGTACAAGACGGTTGCCAACTTTAAGAGAGTTCATCGAAGGACGCCAACACCTCAAGGAGGTAGCCACAGAAGCTGCAGGAGGCACGTCATGTCAAACCATAGATATTGGCTGTCGATCCGTGGGCCAGTACCATCGGTTTTGTTTGCACCAGGAACCAATGCAACAGTGCAGCAAAAGGAGAGAAAAGTTCACAAAGTGTAGAAAAAGCCGGAGCATGAGTAATATTAATACGAATGAAGAGTGTTTCGTCCGCTTTGCAACCTGTTTGCGCTTGACAGCGAGCTCCCCAACAAGTATCTTCTCGCAGCAGGAGAACTCGGAGAGTGGCGACACCACCAATAGTCCTGCTCTCACTACAACTACCCCTGTTCAAGCTTCTGCCAAGCTAGAAAAGCTACTTGCTGATGCCGACGAGGCTTTCTGGGCTTCGCGGAAATTGACGCAAATGGCTGGATGGACAATATACAAAACACCTCGTCCACCGTCCAGCGGGAAGGGCCGGAGGTCTTCAGTTAGCTGGATGTGCTGGACGAACGAAAGTTCCGCACCTCTATCAGGGGCTGCTGGTAGAAGCACTCTCACACCAGATTTTCTTCGGCAACAACTGCAGCAGCTAGCTGCCAGGAATGCAGCACGGTCTGCCAGCATAATGGCGGCGGAGGAGAGCGAGCCCAGTCTACGCCAGCCGTCTACGCGGCAACGTAAGACATATCAAATATGGCAGTTGTGTCAGTATCGTGCAACCAGGAGCATGGGTTGTTATTTTCTTTAGCGCACTTCTCCACACCACGCACATATCAACTTTGTTCGGGAGAAGGTCGTTGCAGTGCTTTGCAAGTAGATCTACCCACTGCCTGAGGTTGGTGTTGCTATCCCAACTTGATTGTGTTCATGTACTAGCCTTTGTTAAATATGCTGCCTTAAGAAAGTGAAGCAACACATGGCAAGCTTGAAAACCTGATCACGTTCCGTGGGCACAAGTTCACGGAGAAGGCAGTGAATCGAATACGAGTGAGCGATTAAATCGTTGAAGGAAGAACAACCCTGTCTTTCCCTCTATTAGGAAAAAGAACATTAAAATAAGCGAAACACATTTTTTGTCAGCTTTATCGTGTGGCGAAAGGTCTGTTCAGGAAAGCCTTAAAGCACGCAATGAAGCGCGCGAAACCGCCAGGCGGAACCTAACGGCTCTGCTAGATACTAGGGTGAGGATATCTGCAGTTACTATTCTTTTGAACAGTAGTGATATCATTTGCATCTTGGATGCATGGTTAGACGCACTGTCATCGAGATCGGAGTTGCTGTTGAAGGACAGTGACAAATCATCTGGAAAGGGTATCCATTAAGCAGAAATGCTTGCGGTATCCGACTGCTCAGATATTGCGTTGCTTCTTCGACTCGGGAACCCGGCTGCGCGTTATGCAGCATATAAGGAAACACAGGAAATATAAGAGGCAGCCTGTCATCGACGCACTCAGGGTAGATCAATTGTAAATGCAAAGTCACTTTCTACAGTAAAGCAATGGACTACCGATTCTGCTCAATACCAACTTGAGCATTAATGGTACTTTGATGACTGTATACACCTCCAAGTTGAGAAGCCACGCACCTCAAAATACGGAAATCTACAAGGTCACGTTTCTTTCTAGCATGCGCCTTTATCCTATGTCAGGGAGCCGAGGCTTGTAGGCAAGCAGACATGGCCGACTTCATTGAAGCCTGGTACTCGGACCTGCTAGCGACAGCGGCCGATGGACTCACGGGAACGACACAGGCATCCAATTATAGGGGAACTATCACAGGGTCTACACATGTGGAACGCCTTCTAGAGATCATGAGGACAGATCTACAATATGGCCTACGCTACAAAGGTTTGATAGATTACGCATGCGGCCTCAAGGAAAGTGACTTTAAAGAACTGCTGGCTCAGGTAAAAAAAAAGCCCCCGTGGTTTCATTAGCATCGAGTAACTCCAAGGTTATCGATTTGAGGTCTTTACAAGTAATGTTGTGCTTCACTGCACGGATTCGCATGATTTTCGATTTTACAGGTGCTAATAAAAAGCTGTTTGGTATTTGAAAATCCTCTTGAGGAACTTCAATCACTTCTGCATTGCCTAAAGGAGAAATTTGGCCGAGTCCCTGTGCCAATACAAAAAGAGCTGGTTCGTGCGTTGCTGGTGTCTCCTCAACGTGGATAGAAAGTAGCCTGCTCCCCCCGAAGTTGGCATTCGCCCTCCTACTTGAGGGGGGGCTACCGGCAGAGGAGAACGTACGTGTTCAGCATCAGGCAAGGATGCTGGTACAAGGGGAGCTTGGTTGTTGTTATACATTGAAGCAATAAATTACAGGAAGGTGCACTGCAACTCAATTGAGGACGCTTCCTTCTCAGGCAGCCTGAGATCCTTGAGCACCCGCGTCTAGGGTGCCTGTAGGGCATGGGAGATGATTTATTTGTTGACAAATTCACAGTTTACGTATTTTGGATCTGCAACAACTTAGAGTAGTCCTTCAATGTGACGCGGAGCTCTGCCTACACGTGGTAGAGCCATATTCTTCATCTTGGCTAGTACGAGCAGCGGGCCCCATGCGGACAGGAGGGCGGCCGGCTGGATTAGGTGGAAGCCGCACTTTAAAACTATCTGTAGATACTCTTTCGAGCATGTCCACCAAAGCCTCAGGCTATCTCCAGGATCTGATGGTGCTACAAAAGCCCCCATCATATACTCTACTATAAGTCTACAGATTGTCTGTGTTGTCAAACCTTTCAAAACGTCACTCAAAAAATAATGTGTCGACCTCATTAGGCACCCACCTGGAAGAGAGAAGACTGCAAAATTACGTTATCTACGGTGTTTGCTTATACCAGCTGCTTACCAACTCATATCACATGTCACATGTTCACATCTCCCCAAACGCTATGCGCTTCCAGCTGTGCGCGCGACCCCAGGAGGGTAACGAGCAATGCCGCAGATTTTACGGAACCCTAATCGTAATGCTTTGGCTCCATTGTAGGTGGCAGTGGTGACCACCGAAGGATATCAGGGACTTGTGCTACTCTTCTTGATGACGGATGGTTCACAGGTCAATAATAAACAACGCACCTAGCCAACACACCATGGATTTACCCAGCATACCCGTCAGCCATACGCAAAGTGCTCAAGAGTATACACATGAGGAACGCTCTATCAATTATTTTCTTCGTGAGAACAATCTGCGTTGCCTGATGCCAAAAGTGCCCATGCTCCAGCTAAAAGGGTTAGGGTTAGGGTTAGGGCTAGGATTTAGGGTTAGGATTAGGATTAGGGTTAGGATTAGGGTTAGGGTTAGGGTTAGGGTTAGGGTTAGGGTTAGGGTTAGGGTTAGGGTTAGGGTTAGGGTTAGGGTTTAGGGTTCGGGTTAGGGTTAGGGTTAGGGTTAGGGTTAGGGTTAGGGTTTAGGGTTAGGGTTAGGGTTAGGGTTAGG